AGCACGCGCCTTAAGAAATAAGACGTCACATCTAATTTCCTTCACAAATATTTGTAGTCCCAAGTCAAAACTGAAGAAATGTGCAGTACTCCAGAAGATATCAGTTTCTGATATTGCAGTCCTGACCGAAAGATGACTGAAGCCCGATATACGCGATGACGAGATTTTTCCTAGTCGCCTTAACTTTTGCCCCTACCGTAGGAATAAGTCACTGCAACGTGGTGGTGGTGTTCTTATCGCTGTCAGACGACATGTTCATTTTGTTGGTATCTAGCTACATTGCAGTCTAGAAGTTATTCGTGTCTGTATTTGTTCAAATAAAATCGACATCGTACTTGTTACCGACCTCCCAGTAGTGATTCTACATTCAAAATTGAACTACACAAAGCCGTTTTGTAAGTCATCACGCGCTTTTTGAACGCGAATATTTTATTGCTTGGAGACTAACTTTCGCAATATATACTCGTCTAGCCTTACAGCTAACGCATAGCGAGAGTCCAGTCAGTTTCTGGAGCCATGGTTGCTGTTTAACTTAAATCACGTACTTCAGAGCCCGACACGTGGTGACACTACCCTCGACCTAGTACGCAGTCCTCCCCCGTACTTTTTCAGTCTATTAATTACAGAAATGGGTTCAGAGATCACAAACTGCTGCACTTTTCTATGTACGTGTCTGTTTTGGTAAATATGCCCGTGAAAAAGGTAATACGGGACTTCAATAAAGCAGATGTTTTGTCAATGAATAGTCATTTAATAACACTTTTTAGACGTATCAAATGAATTTTGATTTAAGAAGTGTTGAAGAAAATTTGACTTTTAATAAAAACAAAATAAATTAACTTACTGAAGCATTTTGTACCTACAGTGCGAATTCTAAGCGATGATTGCCAGCCCTGGTACAGTAAAGCCCTAAAGTCGCTAGACAATAAAATACGCTTTTTTCATAAAGCAAGTAACTGAAGACAAACTCTTCAGTTACTTCATGCTGTTCTTAAGGAGTACACTAGTCTAAATAAATACTCATAAGGTAAAGATTTTAATTAAGATCTGTCAGCCATACTTCGAAGCAACTCCCAAAAGTTTGGAATTTAATGTCGTCAAAACGTAGCATTAATTAATGCCGTCCAATTGGCTGGAGAGGGTGGAAACCACGTGGACGAAAAACGGTGCTCAGAAGAAGTAATGAATATTGTTTTCGCCTCAACGTTCAGAAACGACAGCACTTAAAGTATGCCTGAACTACCAGCTGGCCAATGCAAGCCTACGACCCCAATGTTTAACCTGTGGGTATTTCTACTCTTATTGAAGGCCTTAAAATTGCTGCTTCTTCAAAGCCAGATGAAATATTGTAAAAAAAAAACTAAATATGTCTCAAGTAACATTCTTCAATTGGTATTTCATGAGTCATTGTTCGAAGGTCGCCTTCCTTCTGATTGGAAAATGGGCAATATTAGTCCGGTCCACAAAAATGGTGATCGCTCCTCGCCTTCTAACTATTGTCTCATTTCACTAACTTCAATTCCATGCAAACTTCTTAAACCTATTATTTAGTTCTTCATTACGATAGATTTAGATCGCAATGTTTTTTTTGTTTTTTTTTTAATGAACAGCAACATTACTTTCGCCGAGGACATATCTGCGAGACACAACTCGAAATTTTCTAATGACATCCCATCGTAACCTTTAATCTCGTAACGAAACCAACGCTATATTTTTGTACTTTTCCAAGGCATTTAATCGTGATCCTGATCTTCGTCTCATCTCAATTTTTTCTCGCCTTCATTTAGATCCTCAAGTAAAATTATGGGCCCGCGGTTATCTCACCTCGCGTCTACAATACAGGGCCTTAAATAAACAGGAATCCAATTAAGTTAACGTCACAACCGGTTCACCTTAAAGCATACTCTTTCTACATCTTCTATTTCGAGTTTTTATTACTGATTTTCCTAATTAAATTTCTTCGAGCGTACGTAATTTTGCCGATGGTTGTGTTTTCTATCCCGAAATTACGCCCCCTAATGGCCAAGCACTCCTTCAAGACGACCTAATTCATATTTCTACATGGTGTAAAAACTGGCTCAGGGCGTTAAAGGGACACTGACACCCCCCAAAATTTTTTTTTAATTTTTTGCCAGGCGCTTCATTATGATGTCGGAGGACAACCCAATTAATATTTTGCAACAGAGTAGCGTATTTTTTTAATAAAGCCAAAAGACGCAACTGCTCGAAACCGAAACCGAAACCCGACGGAGGTCGGAGAAGTGGAGAGAAGAGAGCGAGTGGCGGAAGTCACGTGGCTACACACGACCGTGTATTTTTTTTTTTTTTTTTTTGTTTTTGTTTTTGTTTTTGATTTCTCCTTCCCGGTAGCAGACGACATGCGGCGTACGGGAACTGTTCGCCGTGGGATTCTTTTGCAGTTATGTATGTTCCGCCCGTTGTTCTGTACTCCAAGATAAGTTGTTTTGTATATTGAGGAGTTGGAGATGAGTAGTGAGTGCCCGTGGTGGATTTTGATCGGCTCCGAAAAGAATACACCCAAGATGTTGCGTGAAGAGCTGGCTCACGTGTCCTGCGTCCGAAACAGAAGTGGCATTGTGCGACAGAGTTTCCGAAAGATCAACGGGATCGGGACCAATGGCTGGCTGCAATTCCTGTAGACCATTTACGGGCACCTCAGAAAGCGGACGCTACCTGATTTATATGCTCCTTGCATTTTGTGGAAAGTGATTACATTGAGTTCGCAGGTGTCAAAAAGGAAATCCCATACCATTTAATTCAGCGACGTGTCGTCCACAACATTTGTTTCTTTTTTATTTTTGTTTCTTCAGTGATAATTGTAAAAAAAGAAAAGAAATGTAGACATCAAAAAACATATGAAAAAAAAAAAAAAAGGAAGAAGTTTCGCGGGGGATTGAACCCGATCCTACGACGTATAAAGCAGACGTCTTTCCCACTAAGCTACTGGGGTATATCGAAACAGGGGGATCTCTTTCCTTAGTAATAATTCAGCCAATAAACTGTAAGTTGGGAAGTTTGCTACCGATCTTCCTTTAGCAAAAGCACTCCCGGGTCGAAGTCGGGATGCACCCCGCATTGGCGACATTCTCGCCTTGTAAAGAAATCGTACGCGTGCATATTCAACTCGAAGTAGACACGTCGTGCTTGACGTTTGCGCGAGCGATGTCTTCAGTCACGAGAAGGGAGCGACGGCTCGGCGACGTCTTCGTGCAAATCGGCTTGGTGGTCGGGCGTGTCGTACGGGATAAAGACCAATTCTTTTGATCAGTCCTAAATTTCTCTTTTAAAGGCAGACAAAATTTTCCGGTATTGCGAACGACAGTTCTGAAATAGAGGTCTCACGCCCGTCGTCCGCTGCCATCGCGTCCCTGCGAGTCCCACGATACGCGAAACGACGCACGCACAGAATGCTTCTGGTTGTCTGTGAAACTTTTTTTTCAATCAACGTATTTCCAGCTTTTTAGAAGCTACAAAAAATGGGTTTCATATTTTTTTCTATTTTTAATATTGAGTGTGTGCCTTCAGTGACCCACGACTTTGATTAAATTTGGTGGTCGCATCGATACCTTAGAAAACGGCCCGTGACCGCAGAAAAGAGAGTGAGCGAGACTCGAACCGGCCAGTTCTTGATCGGCGGTTTTCGGGCGGAAAGAAACCGAATTTCGAGCCGCAAATTCTGTTCTGGGTAGTTGAGCTCTCATATGTCACGTACAACTAAAAACCTCGGCGAGCATAAATACCCTGCCAGTGTCCCTTTAAAGAAATCTAAATGCCATGTCATCCGCTTTAGGCAAAAAAAGGCCCCTTCCTCATTTTCATACATGCTAGATAGCGAGATCATTGAAGTAGTTGATAAGTAAATAATATGGTGTCGCCCTAACTTCTGATATTGCATTGATTAACCACGTTGACATCATTCCTTAGGCTGCGTCAAAGACTTTTGGCTAAATCCGGCGCTGCCCGAGTGCTGCTCCACCTAAACCTAGGAAACTTGCATATGAAACCTTTATTCGACTCAAATTGGAATACGTTGCTGCAATCAAGTATCCCCATCAAAATTTCCTAATTACTCAGCTAGAACCGGTCTAATGCAAAGCAGCCCGCTACATTTTATCTAACTACGATTATACTGTTAGCGCCTCCACTTGTTAAAAATTAATTACTACATAAGCCATCGCGGTCGCCTCGTCGCATCAACAACTCCTGCAATTTTCAACGCATATCTGGTTCCATTATTGCATTTAACAAATCATTCTTTCCACTCACGATGATGGACTCGAATGATCTTACAGAGTCAGTTGTGTAAATTGCCGATCCCGAAATCTTTAAAAATTCAGTCATCTTACATTTTTTCACAAAGCCTAGAAAAATTAACATTTCTTTTGTTGCTCTTCGTTCCAATAGTAAGTGTTGTCTTTTTCTTGCGTTCAATCTAGTTATTGTTTGTTTCTTTAACTTGCAAAAAAAAACCGCTTACCCCTTTTTTATGTAATGCCCTGGTAAGAGGGCCTTAAGGACCAATAAATAGATCAATAAAAAAAAGGTAAGAGAACACAGCATATTGCTACACCGACAGTTATGGTCGCTTGTTTTCAAGGCAATATAGTACTTGTTATTTTTTCTACTAAAAAGTGATCATCAATCTCAGTCAAACTATGCGCTCAATGCTGCAAAACGTATTGATCGGTATATTATGATCTTTGATTCCGCAATAACTGAGAGAGAATAACGAAAATGAAATTGCGTAAGTTGTTTTAAAACAACTCTTTGCTTCGCAGCTGTGTGCAAATCACTCGATGAGCACGCTGCATGTGGATTGCGACCAAATGCCGTTCGCGCACACGACGCGTGCTGTAAGGGAAAAATAATAAACAAAAATTATCGCGCTTACGCGTGTTCCTGCGCGCAGCACGCATCAGCCGAAAATCAAGTGGCTGGAAGCCTGTCGCTGAACCCGGTAAGCAAAGGTTGTACTTGCAAGCGCCGCTGGAACCATGCAGGTCGTGTTTTTTACTTTGCTGCTTCTTGCTCCGGCCTTCTTCTTGGCAACCGCTGAACGTGTGAACGTGTGTGGTACGTGGAGCGTATACATCCAATTAATTCCATTTTCATCATATTCAATTTTATCAAAAGCTTAATTTAAATGCACACTCTAAAAAATTCAAAGCGTCTACTTTCCCGCAAATTTCCTTGAGTGTAGCAAATCGGAATGATTTATCATAATTGGACAAGGATAGCAGATGCATGTTGGGAGTTTGCAGCAGCGATTTATACGCTTAAAGCTCGATCAAATGGTGCAATTTCAATAAATACTTTCATCTACATTGTTTCTAAACTTTCTTACAGAATTGCCTAATCTTAGAGTTGAAGGTGTCTTTTTTTGCGTTTCCTCTGCAGCTTCGGATTCGGTAAGTCTCCCCAGTCAACTCTCACATATTATGTGTAAATATTATACAATATGTGGTTAGGCTGTAAAAAAACGCAGAGCCTGTTTTATTATTTAGTTCGACGTGAGCGCGTTGGTAAAGTTAAATAAAAACAGAAAGAATAAACATAGGGACGGACAAAACAGCACCTCGAAAGAGGTGCGGTTTTGTCCGTCAATATGTTTATTCTTTCTGTTTTTGTCTTATTATGCTCAGGTTTTTTACTTCGAGATTTGTTCCTTGGCATTATTATCGGGTAATGCCGTATTCTCATTGATTGAAGAGCGATAAAGCATGCGGGGGACTTACGATGCCCTGTGGTTCTTTCACTTACCATTGTAGCTTGAGTCACTGAAAATTTGTTAGACAGTCCAGTAGAATTGCCGGGAAATAATCAGGTAATCGCCCCTTTTATCGCAATGATTTTCTTCGAAAAAGAATTATTTTTTTTTCCGGAACTTCTCACTAAAACAACAAGTTAGCAACTGCGCAGTTTTGAAGTTACGAATTGCTGTCTAAACTGCATGAGAGCACTAACATACATATGCCTTGTTATGAGTTTCCGTCAGGGTCGCCAATTGTGTTAGTAAACAAAACTGCTCGCGATGATTAGCGCGATATATAGCCAGAGCATATATGCATTACTACTTTTGAAAGTTTTACATTGGAATAAAATCTGCCACGCTATTACGTGTGCTGATTGAATTTGATGTTTTTGCGTCATTGGTATAAACATGTATTCATATAAAATATCTATGCAGTATATGTGCGAAAAATGTCATTTAGCGCAAAGAAAAAGATATATATGCCGCAATGTTTACAGGCTTTAGGAGCTTACTGGACAACAATCACGGATAGCAATTATTCGAAGACTGAACTGACATGCAATTTTCTCCTCTTTTTTGTGCGAAGACCATCGCAAGATATAATTTACCAGTTCACGCCAGTTGACTGGAGGGGCATGGTCTTCACCATTATTTCAATGAAAGCGATTGGTTGAAAAGTTTGGATATAAATATTTCTGTGAATTGAAAGGCTTCTCCAAAATATTTTCCAATCTTTGTTAGTTGGAGACTGTTTATATCAAGGCATTCTAGCATATAACTTCAAGTAACACAGTAATGTATTTCCACATATTGTTACACGTCAGCTTAAATTAAAAACGAATGAGTTCCATTGAACATTTTGAGTCGACGGCAAAATCGGATAACTTGAAAGTTTGGTATAATATTTCTGCACTCAAAACGTTTACAGGATTGGTCTTTTTGCCAAATTCACTCGCCCCGGCGTTCTGATGACGTTAATAAAACGTACTTGTTTTCTTTTTTTTCCCTTTCTTTACAGCTGAAGACTTCATTGTTTTTTATGAAGAAGTTAACAAAATGCGAAACCTACTCCTGTGCTGTGGAGGAATTTTGCCGTAGTGGCAGTACTTTTGTAAGTTGGTCGTTTTTAAATATGTCTAACATTTAAGAAACAATTTAGCCGCCTTTAAGAAAGCATGTGCAGAAGAATAGTCTTATGTGCCACTGGCTTAGTTCATGGTGCGGCGCCGGCCATATTTAATATGGTTGTTTGGTACATATTGCTAGCATCCTAAACTGTCCCAAATAAACACGAACTTATAAAGATAGAGACTGAGAGTTAGACGAGTTCAGTTTTCGTCATGCATTTATCAGGCTCGGCGGATAATTGTCGTGGCAAATTGACTAATTCACTTCTCTCATATCCCCACTCAATCAACTTTTAATTTGCAGGTTTTAATGGTCATTATAGTATTTCAAAATTGATAGCAATCACTATTATAGGTCAGGCCAATTTAAAGAATTTGAGGAAAGGTAATTGTCTCCTGCCCACGATGACGCTCGGGAGAGTAACGTCGTGGTTTCAATCATGCCATCCCTATCTTGGCAGCGTGTCCTTGGCAGGTGCACCGACGTGACTCAGACGACTACGTCACTCCTCCACGCGTCATTGTAAAACCAACTTGATGGGCTCTTTTGGCGCATAATAATTTTTTATTGCTAAAAGAAGCGCCAAAAATGACTGTTAGGTATCTAAAAAAAAAAAGTTACCTTTCAGCAAACTCTTGAAATTGGTCTGGCGTCTAATAGTAATTATCATCGATACTGCGATTCCAAGATGATCTCTAATGCCAATAAATAACCAGTTATATTAAAAAATTGAGTTAATTAATCAACTTACCGCGACGAGTATCCTCTCATTCAATCTCCGCCGAGCCTGATAAATGCATGGTGAGGACGGACTTCGTGTAACTCTTACGCCCTTTTTTATCTGTTTGAATTAAAATTAAGGACTCTTTATGTTTGGTTTTGCTTTTTGTTATTTTCACGATTCCAATATATGTTTTACGATTTTACGATACTAAATTATTCGAACACGTTTTTACATACTAGTTATTTGCAGGAATGTTTTATGTTGTTTTGTTTTTCTACAGGAGCTGGAATTGTTGAAATTTCTTGAGGTAAGCCTTGACTTTTATCTTTTTTTTTTTAAATACCCCATGATGGGGGCTTAAACGAAAACAATGGCACATACAAGAAGTCGAAATTTAAAAAAAAATAGTATGAAAATTAATAATGCTGAATATTGAGGCACAAATTGTCCAAAAAGTATGTAAATGAAATTATGTGTACGTGTTGAAAGTTTAAAAACCAAGAAGACATGTGAGACATTATATATTCATGCATGGTTTCCTTTTTCAGTGATTCTAAATTTAGAGCGCGTATATAGAAGTACACATTATTCTAGCCAGAGACGACACACGACAGGGGCGACAGGATAGAAACACGCACGTCTCAAACTCAGCTAAAAAGATTTTACTCACACATCGTGTTTTATATGCCACCCCTCGCAAAACCACTACCGAGTTTGCATACGTGTACAGAGCCTGCGCCACGCCTCCATAAAACAGCCAATGGTACGCCCCTGTGTACCCCACTTTCGCATGACCCTCACCGAGTGTGCACACGTTTACACATCTATCGCACGCCCTTTCATAACACACTCAATGGTACATGACTCAAACTTCTCTAACAAAACCTTATATTTTTATATAAATTTCTTGCAGAAGCTTGAGGCATGTATCATTGAGTGTGTTATGGAGGGCGTTTGATAGTTGTGTGAACAAGTACTGACTCCGTAAGGGTCATGCGATGGTGGGGTATATGAGGACGTACACCATTGGCTGTTTTGTGGAGGTGTGGCGCTGGCTGTGTACACCTGTGCAAACTCAAAAGAGATCGTGTGAGGGGTGGCATATAAAACACGATATGTGAATAAAATCTTTTTAGATGCGTTTAAGACGTGTGTGTGTGTCCCTAGTCCCCCACGTCGTCCGTCGCCTCCGGTTAGAATCATGTGTTACGTTAACCGGCTTGCCTGTCCATTAACCCTGTCTCGCATCTAGAATCTTGTGTTTTATTTAATTTATGCGTGGCTTCACAAAACATTGACCAAGAACAAGTGACCTTACAAATACAAAAATCTTACGTATATACCTACGTTTCCTCTTTCAGAACCCGGAGCTTTTGTGCGAGTTTTTCAGGTTGTCAAATCTTTGTACCAAGGATGAACGGAAACCAAATGACTTGTGAAAGAGCAGTTAGGATCTGGCGATTGCCATCCTCTTTTTGACCGAATTAACCAATAAGGCGTGCGTGTCCTCCAGTCATTCGGCACGGGAGCTTAACAAATTGTCACCTTATAAGAAAATAAAAAAAGTTCCCGGTTCTACCGGCGTGAAAATAAAAGTGGTCCCGATTGCTTGAGATTACTTTTGCACCGCGAGTCTCGTGATTCCAGCTGGTGCGTCGAATCCCGTTGCAGGAATATTTGCTTTTTCATGTGAATATTATAGGTCCACATGTGCTCCCTTTAGCACCTATACAAAACTTCCCTTTGGTTCCGTGGGCCTTCTTTTTATCCGTTTCATAAATCATATATCACCAATAAAATAGTAGGACGCTTTGCTGGTGCATTAATTACATCTTGCCGATAAAAGACATTGTTTACTTTTAGATATGTATTTATACCCGAATTTGCGTAAAAAGGGCTCAATGTGTTTCTTTTTGCAACGAAGCTGTGTATTGCTAGGGTTTCGTAAATTTTTTAGTGCATGACCAAAAACTTTACGCTCGCGCTGCTGCACGCGCCGCACGCGCACGCCTTCCCCGTGTAAAAGATTCGCAGTAAATAACCAAAATAAAGCGTTGACGAACGCGTGCAAGATGCCATTTGTTTTCGGCTTTTGCTTTAGAACAGTTACTACTGCAGACGCCGGCACGTGCGGCTAATGGAAAACCATTCCCTGCATTCCCCTTGATGCTTGGGTAATTTTGCAATAGGTTTCTTTCACTTCTCTTCTTTCGTCGCAATGGGGAGGCCGCGTATAGTCCGGGCTCCCGAAGAGCAACACGCCCACGAAGAGCAACGACGGGAACGGCAACGAGAATAGAGAGTGTCAGGGAACCGTTTTTGCACATCCGATACGGTACGATGGGCACTCCGGTACGAACTGCGCATGCGCCTGTCTTCTGCGATCTTACCGTAATGCGCTGGTGGAACCGTAAGGCACGACCAATGGCCGACATGGACAGTCTCGCTTGGTTAGCAAAGCGGCTATTTCGCTGGCGGAGAGAGCGTGCCATGGCTCCAAACATGAAGAAAATAAATCGTGGCAGTGCCTGGCAGGAGCGCCATGTGTGACAGCAAGTCCATAAAGTTTGAGTCGGCAAATAAGAAGAATAAAGACCAAAACGCAAGAGGACTTTTTCAATAGAAATAAATTGGTGTTTACCGTTGCGTCAAATCGTCTGCTCGGTAGCTCAGTGGATTGGAGCGCCGCATTCTTGAGCTCGTAGAGGACCGGTAGTGGCCCCGACACCTTTTTTTTTATTTTTTTATTTTTTACATATTATAAGGTTGTTTTTTTTTTTTTGTTCTTTTTATACAAACATTGGATGTGCATTTTGAGCACTTATCGCCCGTTTTTTACAGCTGCTGTTATGACTGAGGATTATCTGTAGTAGCAACAGTGTGAGCAACAGCCTTCTTCATCAAGGCTCTGGATACTTTTTAGTTTAAAAATGTTGCATGAATTAAAACTTTCTGTACAAATGATAATCACATATATCCTATAAACCGAGCCCTTTGAATATTGGGTGATAGTTTTAATAAGTGTACCGCAGTAAAGTTACAGGTTTTCCTTTATATTTTCTTCGTGGTCGTACCGTACACGGCGCAACGATCGGTACACGGGCGTACGACCGTGATCGTCTGCTATCTGTACCGTAAGAGAGCAACATAAGCGCCGCATCTACCACCGTCCCTCCGCCTCCTCCTCGCAAGCCGTTTACAGCAGTACACAGCATCTTTCTACTTCGGGAGGTGCTAGGCGCTACTCCTCTTTCGCTCTAGCACTTTGGAATGACGCAGCGTTGAAAAAGAACTTGTTGCGAACTCTCGTTGTGAGGAGCGAAGGAACGGATTGACCTCCTCATAAATAAATATAGAGATTTGAGACGTACTGAAAGATACGTCATTCCAAAAATATACACACTGTATGGAAAGAAAAACAGAAATCATTACATTCCTTCCTTATTTAACGAACTCCCAGAGTCCCTTATGAATATAGAATCCACCAGGGTACTAAAAAGGAAACTAAGGAATTGGTGTCAAGCATCTGAGCTGTAGATATCGCAGCCTAACCGTTGGAGATGTTTCGTACTTTTATTTCATGGTTGCGTGAGTAGACTTGGCTATAAACACCTATATTTCATGCTCTAAAGTGTTCCTTTTTGTATTTATTTGTGCCGCTAATTTTGTGTTCCTTTCATTTTTTTTTTGTTTTGTGCTGCAGAGTGTTTTTTTTTTGTTTTTTTTTTTGTAACAACATGTTTTGTAGTTGGTCGCCTGGCCCCACATACAAGCAGAATGCTGCTTTTGTGGGCCAGCTCTTTATTTTGTATGACTTGATCTTAAAATAAAAATTGAATTAAATTGAAAATTGAAGTGAAAATTGAATTGAATTAGCTTTGTACAAGAAAATGGCCGCATCAACTTGAGAAAGTGAGTATATTTTGGTTATTTTTGTATTTTCTTCGAGATTTAATATTTCTAGTTTTATTAGTCCATAGCTCTCTTAATACTCGATCCTGCATTGGGCCTCGAAGGAAAGAGACAGGATCACTAGCAGACGACTTCGAATGTTGATGATAAGCGCGCGCGAGCGTGTTCTTGTGCCAAATCGAGTTTGCTTTCGGCAACGTTTCAGCATATCAGGACGTGGTTGGTGTAAACATCATATTTGGTTGATGTAAAACACCAAAGCTTGCCCGCTGAGAACGCATGATTTATTAGAAAAAAAGTTACCATGTACGGTCGAGGCATTATTTTATTCTCCAAGTATATAAATCTGGTAAACAGAAAGAAAAAAACAAAACAAAATACGCTGGCACATCATTCGTGGTATCCGCACATCCTTCCTGGTATCACAACTTTTTTGTTTACTCAAAAGCTACGCCAAGTTGAACGTCCTATGCCTTTCCGCCAACAAGCGGCTCCTCTTAGTGTATCGGTGCTCGGTGGCACCCGAAAGAAATGTGACTGACTTCGTGTCACGGCACACCAAAAAGAATGTTTATTCCCTCGTGCCCCTGCACAAGTCACGGGCCCCACGGCACGCGCCTGCGTGCCTCGCTTATAGAAAGCGGGAAGTTCAAAAAAGACTCACGACACACTTAGTGCGCAGACAGTCGTACAAAATCACTTTTTCTAGATTTCTTTCGCTGAATAGAGCCAACTCCAAGTCATGGTCAAAAAGATCGAGCGCCATTGTTGTCGGAAAGCTCGTCTGCTTCTTAGCAGACGAACATTTTAGAACTTCGCGGTGCCAGGGGCGACACGCCGTGGTGCGCCAGGTTTTGTATTACGGAAGCGCATTCATTCCAGTAAAAAAACGGGACGAACTATAACTAGGTATACTATATTTTTGGTTCTCTATATAATTAGGGTGCGATCTTTATTTACTTGAGTTTCTGCGATTTGTACAAACACACGATTTGTCTTTTCTCGATGAGGCAGATGCAGGTTTCCGTTGCCAGGGGGCGCGACCTGTACCGATCGTCTGCTATAGTCTGCAAATACGGTTCCCCCAAAGCCGTTTCAGGGCACACGATCGGTCCACACGCCCGATCCAAGGTATCGATGTTTTTTCTTTAACGATCGTATTTTGTTCCGGTTCCCTAAAACTCTCTAGTGTCAGCTGCGGCGGCGGGCGGCACGTGTGTGTGCGTACCTTTCGTCACGATGACCACCGACCAAGACAGTAAATGTGTTCGTGCCTTTGTTCCAAATTCTGTGTCACGTCTGTGTCATGTGCTAAACAGCTTCGCTGGTCATCCCCGTTCACACAGTGGAATGGCTCAGGATTTTTTTAAAGTTTTATATTACTTTATACCTTATATTTAGGGTTCGGAGTTTTCGGTTTAAACCGATAAAAACCAAAAAAAAGTAGGCCGAATCCATTTTCGGAAATTCTGTTTTAACCGAAAAAGGTCAGTTTGTAGGTTCGGCGTTTTCGGTTTAAACAGATAAAAGTACGGTGGGGGAGGGAGGAGAGAGAGGGAGAGGGTGGGCTTTGCAAGGTTCGACATTGTGTGAAGCCCTCTTCCAAGGTTCAACATGCAACAAAAGAGGTCTTGGTTTGGACTTCGCGGGATCTGACCCTCTCTCAAACTTCCCTGCGGTTGAAAACATAAATACAAGGATTTTATTTTATTTTTGTTATTCCACTGGTCATTGTACGGTCATCACCTCAGACGGTCACGTCGTCAGAATGGGAAGGAAAAAGAAGCGCGCTGAAGATTATGCCCGCGAATTCCGCGATTTTGAGGTGTGTCCAGACGGAAGTTGTAGCGAAAACGCTTAGAGTGATCACAAATATCACAGCTACAAGGATCCTCTGATCCGGTGTCCGATTGTGTTTCTTTCATGTTCACCGAAAAAAAAGGTAAACTTTTTGGGGAATGAATATACACCGGAAAAAAGAACCGAAAATTTAATTTGAAAATAAACACCGAAAAAAGTACGCCGAATTTTGAAAAAATAAAAACCGAAAACGCGGAACCCTACTTATATTCGTTATCTATGAACTGCTTGAGTGATTAACGCTCATAAATTAGCCAGGGGAAAAAAAAAAGTTTAAAATCGGTAAACATAGCAATCAAATAAACATAATTAAAAATATCCCTTCGGCTTTCAAGATACCTTTAAAATTGCCAAGTTCCTGGTTGGGCATTAAACTCAGCTGTTTTAAAGTCTGCCCACGGGAGGGATGTTGGGAGGCGGAGAAAAGCTCACCCGAGAAAAACTTACCGCAAAACTGTGTGATGCGGAGAAAAGCTCACCGGCCTTTTGACGGATGCGGAGAAAAGCTCACCTACGAATCTAAGATTCAAGTGTTCACTCAAATGAAACACATTCACTCAAAGCATCCGGTAAGAGGTCAGGCATAGCCCGACGAAAATAAAATAATTTTGTTTCATAGAACACTAATTAAACAAATAATGGGGGAAAATATAAGCAGTGTAGAGGGCTGCCACTTGAGTAGTTTCTGGATATTCATCTATGTAGTGACCTTTTATATGGTATACTAACACCACATTGGAAAATCTGCACATTTTCCAATTTGTTTGAGAAGCAGTGGTTTCAATTCGTATCTTATTCGAACGGAAAACAAATATGTCGTATTTCCTCTGTCCCGGATACGTCATATTTAAATATGGTAACACTCGCACAAAGTAGGTTAACATAAAAGTGGTACGAGGGCTACGGCCAGGGTGGAGAACGAAAATCAGAATTAATTAAATCGTGATTTAAATCAGAGCGATTTAAACATGGTAACACTCACACAAAATAGCTTAACATAAAAGTGGTACGAGGGTTACGGCCAGGGTGGAGAACGAAAATCAAGATTACTTAAATTGTGATTTAAATCAGACCGATATTACTAGGATGATTGAAATCAAACCATGCCAGGAATAATTCTCAAAATATTTTCTGTTCTTTATCGTATGATGCTTTCTATATAATCATATATTCTGTGTATAAATCGACGAATCATCACACAAGAAATATCTAGATCGGATTGAACACGAGCGCAAAGCAGTGGTCTTCGAAGCAAATCCATGCGTTGAGCTTCATTTCCACCTCCGACCTTGTTCGTCAGTTACCTCACACTCTTTTGCAATGAAGTCAGAATACAAAAGACAGAAAAAAAAACTGAGAAAGTAATGTCGTATATCAAAAAAATCCAAGAGCAATTTTTGTTTTGATATCAAGGAAATTAAGCTGTTTTTCTTCTAGTGTGGCGTGTTTTCATAAACAAAACGTGTTAAAATTGCTGTAACATTTTACCGCATTGTTTTCACTGATCAGAAGGATTGATCAAACAACCTGACGTGTTAAAAAATGCATAAAATGATAGATAATCAGTATTTCCTAGCTACAGTGATATTAGCATATCAGCCTGATTTAAATAAAATAAATCTGATTTAAACTACTTTTAAAACATTTCTTTTTAATATTTTGGCTACCGCAGAACGACCTGATGTGAAGTGTGTACTCTGGGTGACACCGTCAATATAAACAAACTATTAACTTTTTTATACTTTTTAGTGGTTGCTATTAAAGCTACTAGTGCAATTGAAATTACTCATTCTGGGCACACATTTATGCGGTAAAAAGTCGACGCTGATACCCCTTCTCTAAGTAAAACGCGAAAAATTGCTTCGCGCTTACTCTGTTGCACGGTGTACCGCCTGCATGAGAGACGCCCTATATCCGTGGTGGCACTGCTGTTATTAAATGATAACGACCACTTTACATAATAATTGAATTCAAGATGAGCTTTTCTCCGGGTCTGTCAAAGGACTGATGAGCTTTTTGCCGAACCTGTAGAAAAGTGGATGAGGTTATCCGATGGGCTTTTCTCCTGTGAGCTTATCTCCGGTGAGCTTTTCTCCGGTGAGCTTTTTTTCAGGGATTCGGGAGGTTTGCGGTATACGGTTATATGTAGTCACAACAATTTTTATATACACAACTTTCGAAAATACTTGTCCTAGGGGGATACTTTGAAAAGTTGTGAAAAAAAAAGCAAATTCAAAATGGAAATTTTAGTTTTGTACACAATAAGCCGCATTTGTCTGCAGGCATTGATGACACCTCTCCGGATTTCTAGGATCCACCTCCTCTCGCTACGCACTACTACATTCGGCCATTAGAAAGCTGCCTCACTAAATACGTCAGCGGCTGTCATGTTTAAACGCGCAGACGAGCAACATCTATACACCAAGCATGTATACACCAACAGATAGTGCTTACAAACAAGCACGCTTCGCCCGCACCAGGTGTGGGCACTAGGCGTGCGCAGCACCGAATTCGGGAGGAGTGAAGGGTCTACGCATGCGCAGTACCTACAGCAGCGCCACCGTGGTCGCGTGACGTCAGTAAGTTAAGTGCGTCTATAGAGTATTCGTTTTCGTTGCTCCGTTTCACTTTTTGAAACCGACCAGAGCCGACGGTATAATACGATTCGATGTAGCCAATCATGCAGCGCCAAAACGTGCCTCGTCAAGGCGCTCGTCGTTTTTGTCAGTTTTCTGTCACCTAATATAAACCCCTCACACGTACAAAAAAAAAAAAAAAAAACCCGCAGGATTGCGGCGTGTTTACTCCGCGTGATTGTTTTAGCCAATGATTCCAAACGCGCAAAGACAACGAGTACAGCAAGAATACGTCTTTTTGACTCTGCTTGATGGGCTCCAGGGGATCGGCGCTTATCGGCAGCGGTAGGCGCTTATAGTGAAACTATGCATATATAGTTACTCCGGGATACACAAGGCGCATTAAACCAACGAGTCAGAAGTCATATAATGTTTCGAAATAAAACGTTATTTGATATTCTGTGGAGCTTTTGTTCGTTTTGTTTTAGGTAAACCTTCGGAGCATGCGGAGCGCAAGTTCGTCTGCTTCTTTTGCAGGGGCTGCGGTGACGTCAGAAAGATGCCGAGCTCTGATTGGCTCTGATTGAAGGATAGTGGGTAAACCGCAAAGCAAGCTGCCTTAAGGTCTACCCACTATCCTTCATTCAGGGTCAATGAGAGCTCGGCGTTCTGACGACACCACAACTTCTGCAAAAAGAAGCAGACGAACTTACGTTCAGCATACCTTTGGTTCTCCGCCATATTTTTATGTCAAAAACGTCCACACGCAATAATATTTCTTAAAACACTTTTTTTTATGTTGCGGTATGCTACGCAGGCCTGAGTTAGACAATAAATAGCGCTTATGAGGTCAGGCACGTATACGCGTTGGCGTTTATTAATGGCTCGTTTAAAACAATGCGAACGGTATTTATTTGGAGACCAAAGTTACCAAACAACCAAACTGTTTCCTGTTGCAACGTCTGGGACTAGAAACGTGAAATTGATGAACACATGGAAAAACGTGACATGGACGTTGACGCGGGAAAACAAACGCACTCCACACTTTGCAGAAAGGAACTCGAGAAGTCCGGAGTCGAACGGGCGATGCCACTTCGGCTGTCGAAGACTGGATCTCATCACTCTCAGGAGGCGCTGTTGCAACTACTTCCCATGCCTTCGATCACCTCGAGGATTTTCTGTTTTTTTTTTTTATAGGGAATAACAATAAATACGGGGTCAAGGTTAAGATCACATTTTAATGGCAAACACTGGAAAAAAAGTAACATTGTCTTCAAGTGTTAAGTGTTTTTATTAGGTTTAATAGCATTTCAATTATAACAAGACATTACTGTACGGTCCTCTCAAAATCAATTATGTACATTACTGAGTAAGACCTGTCTATTTTGACAGGGTGTTTCCCGAACGATTGAAATCAATCTTAAGAAACGAAACTTGAAATTATGAATTGATTCATTTGAGATAACGTTATCGATCGCAGCGGACGTCAAGTTACCAGTTGAAATTATAATTTGTGAGTCATTTACCTAAACCTTACTCAATATATTTTAAAATATTATCCTCGACTGACACAATCACTTTTCAAATTTTTGTTGTCCGTCGTCAAAATATCTCAATGCTGTTGTTAAAATGAGAGGACACATGCAAAGGAACAATATATATTTTTTTAAATAACCTAGAGTGAAAAAGAGTCATAACACAAATTCTGCAGTCTCTCTAAATTTGGGGAGGGGGTGGGTGGTTGAGGGCAAGGGGGGTATTTTTTATTTGTCCGAATCGTGGTTCCTCTTTCAATGAATAATGCACATCTACTTTACCCCAATGCCACGAATAACAGTGTTCCACATAGAACTGGTGATGTGGAGGTTCACAAATACGATTCACGCTATGATTATTGGTAGGTGCTCATCATATTCAACGTCACGGCGCGGCCCATTTTGATAGGTTGAATCTTTATGGCTGCGTCGTCGCCCACCAAGTCACTACCTTAAATCGGAGCATTGAATCACCTTTTGTCTACAGGGAAGCCGAAAGCGTGGGTATATTCATATAAAAGACGAAGTAAAGGTTCATACAAAGATCGTATCAGAGGCGAGTGTTTAGGTGTCAGAAGACGTCAACAGACTATAACGGGTATACCCGTTAATCTGAAGCCAATGTATTGACCTAATAGCTGCTAAATAAGTGATAAATGCGAATACTTACAGCTCCGTTCTCTTGGCAAAGTTGACTGATAAAGCAAATATCGTTCCTGCAGCCGAAGCTGGTTTGAAGCCAGTCGAGCTGTCGGTTATCCTTTAAAAACAATGCCGGACATAACAGATATTACAGTATCATGTTGTTTTTCGTACGCTTTGTGACTATCTGTGATAAAAAAATGGAAGTTGGGACGGCGTGATGTAATTTTAAAAATTCAATGATACAAAAAATAATTGTTGTGCCAACAATGGCGTGGTTATTATATGTGGGAGTATCTATACTCTCGTATAGCCACCAAACATCGGATAGTTTGAGTAAAAGAAAGTTACATGCAGTTTGTGCAATATGTACAAATTCTTTTTAGTGGCTTAAGACTTAAAAGAAATTTGCGGTTTACAAAATAACGTTAATGGGAAATACAAAACTTTGTATCAAAGTTTGGTTGCTATACCCAACAAAGATAATGTTATTGTCAAGGGCCTACTAAAATTTTAGCATGAATAATATTTTATAGTCTCCCTACTGTAGCCTCAACAATCTAAAACTGTGCGCCGGAATATGAATAATCAGCAGCACCATTACATCAGCTCGTAAATTTCAGCCGGGGAACAAATCGTAATTTACGCAATTATAATCGTGCCTCACTGTTGCTCATAACTGAGCTTACAGTTGCGCTATCCAAGATTACAAAGCGAAAAATAAAAACCACAGTAAATTGTTGTACCTTTCGAGAAGCATGACTGCGGACGCACGTCATAAATTTGGAGAGTTCATTATCTGTCATACCTATAAAACAAAAGATTTGAAATAAAACAGGAGCTTTCGATATAAGAACACCTTAACACTAGCGTTAAAATAGGAACACGAAAGCTTACCACAAAGTCTCGAGGATGTAGCCAAGCTCACCAAAGCGCAAAACACAATAAGGGTCCTCATAGCTCCCGGTTTCAGTCCGCTGGATTTCCGTCGGCTCTTCTGCTTCGACTAACGTTCGACGGACGCTTTATGTTGCCGACGGGGCAGTCTAGACAGGATGCTCGCTCCAATCAAGTCGCGATAGCAATGGCTTGACGGTAGACGCACGTGTGGGAGGAAGCACGGCCTCGCCCGTTATCGTGGGGAGCCGTGGCTGCGTAGCGCATTTGTCAAAATACGGTCACGGTTTTCCCACGTAAACCTGGAAACCCCCACCAAGCATGCGAAATCGAGCTATCGACATTGGGTCTCTTGGATAGCCCTTTCTCGTCTTTTTCCGTAGAACGTCATAACATCTTGCTGCGTGGGCGGCACTTTGCGATTGAACCTGAGCCTGTCAACAACGCATTGATCGAACGCGAATCTTGTCCAAACGCTGACGCGGCGTTCATGTCCAATCCGCGCTTCGCACTCGATCTGGCTAAAATGGCTTCAAAAATTCAACGCGCAAGCGTTTCTTTTTTTTTTTCGTTTTTTTTAGACATTATTGTACATTTATTCAGAAATGTGAGGCCTTTGTTATTTCAACGCGTCTTGCTTCGTGTTTGGTTGTTTGGCGTTCTTGTCGCCTAATGCCGCAATGTCATTGGCTGCGGTGTGATAATAAGATGCACGCGCCTGGGCACGCCCTGTGTTTCTTAACTTGTCGGTACTTATAGTGACAAGTGAAAACTTAAAAAACCCAAAGCGTGCCCTTTTTTTGAGGCTTCTTGCTTCGGTATTAGTTCTTCGATGTTCCCATCGTCTCGGTTTAAGGCACGCCACGTCATGCGATTCTTAAAACTGTTCGTGATCATATATATGGTGTTGCTTCGGAGCCCCACGTCGGGCAGACTTCAACCACGTGGGGCCTATATTGGTCCCGTGTTGTGGGACACTTGAGACGTGTTTCGAAGAAACCAGATATCGCACGCATATTTTTTTTATCTTGGCACTTTACGGGGTTTGGTTCCAACAACAAATGAAGCGGAACGGCAAAAAAAAAAAAAAAAAGTAAATGCAAAAAAGTGAAGATAACAAAATGAGGCTCGCTACTACGGTGCTCTAGGAGTGCGCACCGGATGTTCGGGTCGATTGCACGCATGCCTCAGTCGAGATTCAAGAACAAGTTTTCACACACTTCCGTCGCTGCAGACGCCCCGATAACACCAATTTGACGAGGCTGAAGAAGGAAGCTCTCTGTTATTGGCGTCTCTCTTTTATAGGGTGAAGGTTTCGAGTAGAAAAAAAAAAAGATATGTTATTGTTTTTGTGTCGTAGTATTTACTTTGATGATTTTAAAGCTCTAAATGTCCGCACTTACCACCAATCCTGCACGACACACTGCCCCTATCTTATTCGGTACCAGTGTTTTTGGCGAGTTTGTATTCTTAAAGAAACGACATTCGTAGACCGCTCATTACCATGTTTAGTTGAGAAAATCGTTTTCACTGAACAGGTAGAAAAAGAAAACCTAAGTTGGTATTCTAGCGTCGTCGTCGGTACACACACTGCTCGACGGACCCGCGTGAATACTACACTAGTAGAGTAAACTATTTCTGTCGAGAAAAAGGCCGGACGCAGATGACCTCCTATTGTGTTATTCACTCTGATGCAGTATATACGTCCGTTTACCTTTTGAAAGTAAGAGGAAGTAGTCCTGAGAGTGGGTTTAAGGAATAACGACAAATGATTAAAAAACTGAGACTGCGTTAAAGTTGAGGCTTGGGCGGGTTTGCACATACTTCGGTATTAAAAACAGCGCGGAAAGAGTAGGACCAGACAAAGAAGTAACACGGACGTAGCGCTGCGTGTTCCGCTTCTTGTTCATTTAAATGTTATTTCAATATGGCACCAACCCCCCGAGACAATGTGCGCTCGTCCGTTCGGATTGATAGCTAGATGTGGCGGGTAATTAGTTTACCAGCAAGATTAAGCTGGAAGCATTTCTCCGACAAAATGAACGGGATTGGTGCCTAAATTGACGCGACACTTTGGTGTCACGTGACACTGACATCACGTGATATGGGAACTCACATGACATCACATGACACTCTGACAGTGAGGTCAAGTGACACTGTGTCTTATGACGTGACATTGCATTGCACTCGACGCCATATTGTGACGCCATGTGATGCAGTGTCACGTGAGCTCTACCCAGCGCACACAGATGAGCGCACGAGTTGACCTAATGAACTCTAAGAAAGTTGAATAAGAAAACCAGAAATACAACAATAAACACATCAGTTTACTCAACGGGCAAACGAATAAAAAGCTCAGCAGGAATAGGATCCCAAATGGCATTTCACTAGATCTCCTTTGAGAGCAGCCAGAGCGAAGACGTAGTTCTTTCTCCAGGCCCAGTGTCGACACTCCTGGGTTCTGTGTCTAATCAGTGCCACAGAAAGAAATTCCTCTTTAAGAAGAAAAAAAAAAAACTATATTTACTTAACAGAAGGTTAGAGTGCAAACAAGCTGGTAGTTGTTGAAAATAGTAAAAACACCCCCAGACTGGGAAAAAGAAAGGACAGAGGTCCCAAACACAGCTGAATTTATTTAACGACAGTTGGTATTCATATATTTTGGAGAAATCTTTGTTGGTCCTTTTCTTCTTTTTTCTAGTCTAGCGGTGTTTTTACTATGTGCATTTACTTTTTTTTTCCAGAACTCTTTTATTAAAGGCGACGCTATCAATGAGCTCCGCGAAAAAGTGATCTCGTTTAAACGTTAAAGTGCAGCTTCCACTCAAAAGAAGTGTAAAATAGTAAAAATTGACAAGTGATATCTTCTGCGCCCGCGAACAAAGCATTAATTGTTGATCAAAAAAATTATGACTGAAGTCTCTTGCCCAACAAACATCAACAGTGCCCAGGGTTCTGCAGACGGAGATAATAATATTCTGCCTGCTGCACTGAACGATAGTCGTGTTGCAAATGATAGTGTCGGGTGAGTTTTGTTATCAGATGTTTTTTTTTTTTTGTGTGTTTGCTTGTGTCACTTGTTATTTGCTTCGCCGCGGAAAACAACTTGAACGTATGCCCTCTCAGAAGCAGTGATTCACGGCTCTCAGGTCATCTTCACAATGAGGCATATATTTGTGTGTGTCACCTTGGCCTCCGTCGCCTTTCGGACCGCCTCTACGGAACTTGATCTGTGCCGTATGTATTCTTTCCAACTGGCTGCTTCAATCACAGCCTCAAATGTATGCCAGAAGCTTGAATTGATTTTGCTGTTTCAGCCAATAGTGACTCGGAAATTGCGACCGTTTTCAACTGCGTTCGAGAAAGGGCAAATACCAAAGTAAGTTCTCACTTTGTTAAAAAAAAAAAAACAGGAAAAAAGCAGTGTAAACGTACATCGATGCGTTCCTGAAAGTTGTTGAGAAATTCCGTCAGTAACTTTGTATTTGTATATATATATATAACTTTAATGCAATAAATACAATAATGAGAGAGAATTCCTCATGACAGAAAACAAGTGATAGCGCTGTAATCGAAACCATGTGGCAAGGAGAAATAAATTAACGCACAAGACCTTGTGTCCTTGTCTCAGAGTATGGATCATGTGCTTCCTAACCAGCTCACCTGTGCACCTTTGCTCCTGACACAACGTTGCTTGTTTTCTCGTCATACAAAAGGTGGGTATATGTTCTACATTTATCTCGGAGTCAGAAAGTTTAAAGGGTAGCTGCAAGAAAAATTTTTTTTTTTTAAACAGCCTATTTAGGACAAGCATGTCACAAAACAAATCTTCCGCGAAAAAACAATTTTTTTCTAGCAATATTTACGCCGCAGGACGTGATTTAGTAGGAGTCACAACATTACAACATTTGAAACGCCCGCTCTTTCGACGCGCGCAGAAAAACAGTTATACGTCACTCCGTGACGTATAGCAGCCACTACGTGACGTATAATACCAACTTTGTAGCGCGCGATTTGAAACGGACGAAATAGCCGCAAACTAAAATGAGTCGCGCAATAAATGTTGCTGCAGAAAATTTCGTTTTTGGCAGAAAATTTGTTATGTGCAAGTTTGTCCCAATTAGGCTGTTTAAAAATACTTTTTTCTGTGCAGTTACCCTTTAAGACTCCCTGTTGTATTGTTCTCCTTCATACGAAATTAAGGTAGAACTAACCAAGTGCAACAAATATATATATATATATATTTTACAGGCGTTTGCTACAATATTTTTTTTTAAATACGAAAACGTGCCCCTTTCCCCAAAAAATCTTACCTAAAGAAAAGTCATTAGTATCGCATATTTCAAGCTAATATAATTTCTTCTTTTAGTGTCAATAGAATAGCCTTTAGGCGTTCTTATTAGGTCGCTTTACAAAATTAAAAAAAATATATTGACCTCCAGAAATATTTTGGGCAATACGTTTTAACAAAATTTATTGCATCTACGCTTGCGCACGAAATATTCATTCATATGTTGCCGTTAAATTTTTATTTCCTTTAGTCACTGCACACTTTGAGCAAACTCGGACTCATAACACGATGCGAGGATGAGACGTGCTTCGTCCGTTTTCTCTGCAGAAGGCACGCGGACATTGTAAGTGACCTTGGGGGCATTACTTCTTTTCCCACCAGCTTAAGACGCGCAGGACGTGGCGAATTCCGAGTGCCTTATTTTTGCTCCTTTGCTACTCAGACCGAAACGTAGGCAGATAAAAACGCAGAAAAAAAAAAACGAATCTGGAAGCAAGAATCTTGAGCGTAATAATCGGCGCCCTGCGTTTCTTAAGCAGTTGAGTGTGTCGTGCATATTTCTTCGTGGGACAGTTTGCAAGCAGGATTCAAGAATGGATTTTTTTAAATGAACTAAGGAAATAAGAGTCCAAGGTGAATGTGAGCTGGTATAGAACGGGACCTGGACTTATTTCAACCCGAAGCTAGGGTCGAATAACAAAAGGTTTTTGAAAAGCTGGAGGGTTAGATTCTTGGAGTCTTCTATACAGGATAAAACATTCATTGCACCCACGTTCTCATGAAGCACGTCATTTCCAGGTCTGAACCTCTTTTAAGCCTCGTCGTTCGTCCAGCTCCTTCCGTAGACTGCAGTTCTTAGATTTCCCTTCTGTTTTTTCACGGAAGTAGACGTGCCAGATATTTCACAGCACGCCTTCTATGAGAGTCAGGTGCCCAGAAAATGTATCTGTAAAACTGTAGGCGCTATTTAGATTTACTGGATTCCCTTTTTTGGGGGGCTGACATTAATCTGTTTTAACATTTCGTATTTCAGGCCGAACAGTTTCACGCCATCCTCTCGGTAAGTGCAGGTTTTATGTTTTCTGATAGACTGAATTAGAACACATTTCAGGTTTACTAAACTGCTTTTATTTTCCAAACAAATGTTTGTAACGATGCTTACATGACAAGGTGTTAAGAGCAGTATATATTTTTTGAGTATTATGGTAGACATTCCTGTAATGCATACGTTTATATTAACTACGGGAGCAATTATACGTACCAATTTTCGGTGCGCATCCTTCAAAGAATACGTCTTATAGCTGAAGACTTTAAACAATTTAATTTTTGTTACTCTGTTCTCGTGTATTGGTTGTAACACACCGTTGTACTCGAAAGGTAAAAATATTTGTTTGAATTGCTGTTAAACTCTATGGCGCTAGAACATTTGCAATAGATCAAAAGCTTTTTTTTTTCGGTGATACCACGCTTATCAAGTCCAATAATCTTTACCTTATCCACGCTAACTAAAAAAACATTACACCCCCACGTACTCGATAAAAACATTGCAGCCCCACTGAAATATTTTGAATGTGCAGCGTAGTTTACATGAGTCGTTTTTATTATTTTGCTAGCTATATATGTATCAAAACTATTAACACTAACGTGCAGATTTTGATTGACTTCCAGGACAACGAGTACAATGCACTCGCACAACTCGTACAGCGTTGCCAGACGAAGTGGCATCCTATACTTGCTTGGATTCTGGACTTTTTCTTCTGAAGACGTCGCCCGAGAGCTGTCGTTATTCAAGGCATCATCATGTCTAAGCAGTTCAGAGTTATAGATATCAATCCTTCGTTTCTTTTAACGATTACAAATTTTCGACAAATTAAAAATAAAAGGTTCTGACGGATCTAGGTTTACGAAATGATGGAAGTAAATCAATTCCAGAGCGATCCCTGTTATATCCGTGTCGTGTTTTATTATCATAAACGCTTCACTCTGGTGGAAATGAAAATATAATTTCCGGAAGGAAAGGGTTTTGCCAATGAACACAAAAGACGCACTTCTGTTCATTTGTTTACTGGTTTAATTTTTAATACTGACATATATTGAAGAATAGCCAATCATCAAGAAAAAGACTAAACAGTTTTGAGGGCTAGCAAACAATTTGTGTAGCACACTAAATAGACGAAAAAATAAAATTGGTGTCACATTAGGCATCAATGTAAAGAAAACGGATGAGCGTGCATTTTGAGTAGCAATTACTGTATTTCTATTACAATTTTTTTGTATTTTATTGTTTGAATGACCCACTGGCAAAAATACCATAGAGCCACACGTGGTACTCCATGCTGTTTCAGACTAAACCAGTGACGCGAAACTCTTATTGCACATTTCAAAATTATCAGCTTCGGCGGTTTTTGACCGTTATTACCTTGTTTGCCTCTTCTGAATACCTAGATTTCTTTGCAATATTGGAATGCAAAAAAGATGTTAATTTAATGATCTGTCTCAGTTTTATAATTCGAATATGTTGGCTCTTTTATAAGTTCATTTAAGAATTACACGATAACACCTTATTAAATGACCTGGACTCGATTTCTACATTTGCGTGACAGGAAGGCCCAGAAGCGAGTTTTACATTTCTTAATACTAAATAAGAAAAATATATTTATACCTGTGGAAACGGTTAATTGTCACCTGAAGAGCGACTAAACAATCCCCTAGTCAATGCAGTCAAATACTCATGATTATTTATTAGGACCGGTGAGTTTGTACCGAAGTGATGTGCAAAATGCTACTGTCGACCTAATGTTCACATACTACCAAAAGATAGTTGTACCACAGTCCGGCGGGCAGATTAAAGGCCTTAAAGGCTCGCAATCTTGCGCACGGCGATAGGCGCTAATTCGTCGGTTCTTTAAAGGAGTCCGTTCCGAAGGCCTTTAATGTGACCGTCTGACCGGGATATTAGTTTCAAAGGCCCCACTCACTCACCTTCTATATTTTCTTCCTCTAGTTTTTTTTCTTTTTTTCTTGTAAAACGAACTATTTGGTTTTTAAATGGAAACTTGGTATATGTGTTGAAAAATCGCCCTGCTTCGGGGAAAGCCCTTGAGTTTTGGTTTTTAATGCGAAGCCATTAACTGTCCCCTTGAGCGCACCGGCAATATCAGCTTTAGAAGCTGGGGCCAAACGGCACCTTAATTTCTCGGTCCCAATGGAGCGGAGCCTGTTGTAGGTGGCAGCGATTTCGTAGATAGGCTCCCATTGACTCGCGCGCGTCATAGTTTCAAGGAACGAGGCTCCCATTGGCTGGCGTGCGTCATAGTTTCAAGAAACGCCACCCCATGGCGCTGCGGGCCCCGCGCCGGTAGAGTTCCCGTATAGGCTCCCTACGGCGCGCCGGCTTCGCGCCGGTAAAAAGAACACGGTGGCGCGCGCTCGGCCGCATCTGCTCCTCTCGACACCGAAGAACATGGCGTCGCCTCTACACACTAAAAAATGCCTGCAAGCCCACTTAGCCGCAAAACCCTCGAGGGCCAATCTCTGCGATCTACCAAATCAGCTCAGCGAATGATGAGGTGGAACATCCGTTTATACCTCAAAATTAGCGAAAATGATCCCTGGAGAGGGGGAACAAGAGGGACAAAGGACAAACACAAATCTCCAAACACAGCTAGGTGACTGGTGCGCGACCGAAAAAATCCGCCTGGTCCGGGTATCGAACCCGGGACCTCTCCATTACAGGTGGAGCGCCGGGACCTCTCCATTACAGGTGGAGCGCTCTAACCTGTAATGGAGAGGTCCCGGGTTCGATACCCGGACCAGGCGGATTTTTTCGGTCGCGCACCAGTCACCTAGCTGTGTTTGGAGATTTGTGTTTGTCCTTTGTCCCTCTTGTTCCCCCTCTCTAGGGATTATTTTCGTCATTCGTGTCCAGCTCGCTTGCACCTTTGCATTTAATTGCATTACAATCAAAATTAGGTCGGTGCTGTGGCATTTCGCAACGCAAAGCGTCATGGTTGAACTGCCTAATGCCACAGCGCAGATTTAATTTTGAGGTCTAAACAGATGTTCCACCTTATCGTTCGCTTAGCTGATTTCGTAGATCGCAGAGATTGGCTCTTTGAGTGTTTTGCGTGTAAGTAGACGCGTAGGCATTTTTAGAGTGTAGCATCTGCATCGTCGGCGGCCGCAACCGATCGGCAGTAGCGAAACCAGTCCGTCCACGCAAGTACACCGCAGACGAACTAAGAGAGCGGAATAACGCGGCACAACGAGCGAGGAGGCAGGCAGTGAAATCCGCCATTTTTGTCAAGTCTCCGAATACACGGCGGACGGAACGAGCAGCGGCGTAACGCGCTGGGAGACAGAGCAAGGCCTTTCGAAAGCGTGAAGCTCAAGCTGATCGCGATTCAAAGCGTCTCAGCGGAAAGAGGACGAGGCCCTTCGAAAACGCGAGGCGGAAGCATTACACCGCAGGCAGCATGTTTTCGCATTCACAACTCATAAGAAGTGCTGAGGTGTCCTCGGACGTTTTGTTTACAACTTCCAGCTACTTTCTTTTCTTCATTTTTATTTATCACGTGTCGGCACGTCTGTCTTTGCACACTTATTTATTGCACTTTCTTTCACGTTTTTTTCTGCAGGACCCACAACAGGAAGGGATAACCGAGCTGCTGCGCATGTGTTCGCTGCAAGATGAATCAACGCGCCTACGCAACTAGCAGCCATACATGTAGTGTATTATTGCATTCTTCTAGTGAAATAACTCTCCTAGTAAACTTTGTTGCCAGAATCCTTCTGGTCGTAATATATCTGAGGACGTATCCTCGAATTTCTCCTGTTAAATGAGCAGACGCGATTAAATACTGCAAGGTTTGAAAACAAAAATCATTCCAACGAAGGAAAATGCACACTCTCAATATCAAACCACTGGAACTTCACCTGACAGTCCTACTTTTCTGTAGTTCAATGCGCCACCTTAAAAAATGTGTCAATGGCTATGCTTGATTGCAAAATAATATTAAGTAACGTTGCAATATAATAAATAAAAAGCAAAAAAGTAAAATGGGTTTTGTTGCGTTCATTCGTAGTACGACCATAGGAGAGGCAAAGGTTTTCTATGATAAAGTTGCCGTCTTCCATGTAATCTGAACATTAGATTATCTCAAAATGTGATTTGTCAAACTGTCCAAGTAGCCCCCATGGTCCAAAGATTATACTCTGTACTAAAAAAAAAATCTAATGCAAATTTATTATTTTTAGAATCGCCGTCTGGGCTTTCTCTAAAATAACAGTCTGTATACCGGGTGTTTCAGTGAAAACCTTTAAAATGTCTGCAAATAGGGTAATTAAAAAAACCAAAAGCTATTTCCGAAAAAAAAACTGCCAGCCACGGACGACTTCAGAGATTAAAAAACCCATACTAATTAGCTAACTAATAAACTTCAAGTTAAATGTTCAATTTTTAAATTAGCGCAGTTTCTTGGCAAGTTTAGAAGTGTGGACAACCTGATCTCATCTTCGTTTTCAAAATGGAGACAGGACCTTCTGAGCCCTACAGTGATAGAAAATCTCATAACTTTTCTGCCGAGAGAGCTTGAGATTTTCTCGCGCTGCAAGGCTCAGCAAAATCTCTTCAGCGTTTGCTCAAACAATTTGAAGTAACCACAGTTTAGATTCAAGTGCTATAGCTTAAAATCCTGCTATGAAAACAACCTTATGGCATATTATAGTATGTTCGTAGTCTTTTGAGTCCAACGAAAGGATCTGATTCATTTTATAAATTGTTGAAGAAATAGTCTACAAAGAACAGGTACAACGCAGTAATGTCACGAATAAAAGTAGAAGATGATTGTGAACCAAAATAGATGTTTGGTGAGGCGAACTTGTGCCCGCAAGTAACAGAAATTGAAGCCGTACATCCTGCGACTGCAAAAAAAAGGCGATTGTGTGCCCCCGATATTGCTCCTTTGATACGTGCAACGTGTTCACGAGCATTGTAAGCAAAAACAGGTGATAACAACCCAAATAGAGCTGAAAATTTCCAGAAAAGCAACGATTGAAAAGAAATAACCTTTGCAGGCGGAGTTTAAACCTGGTACCTCCGCGTAGCAGACCTGTGGGGCTTCTAACTCTGTCACAAATGTAACTCTTTTGTTCATCTTACATACAGTCGCGGTAGAATATCTTTCGCCAGATTACCCAAGCACCAAAAGGAAAACTGGAATTGTATGTACTCGTGCTGCACGCGCTCGCACAATCAGCTTAATCGCTTTGAAGTAAATAATCAAAATAAGGTGGTAACCAGCGCATGTCTATGTTGTTTGTGTTTTTGCTTTGGAACCCAAGCTTTATCGGGTGACACGCCATCTTCTTTGTTTGTCTTCAGTTCGCGTTTCTTTTATCAGCGCAGTGGAAGCATGGGTTTTACTTCCATTGCATGTTTGACAATACTGAATATCTTACAAGGTGTCAGCACGTTAGGTCACGCGAAAGCTAGCAAAGATATTGGGTGCTGCTTACAGCAATCCTCTTCGCTCGGACTGGTGGGAGAGGTCCTCACCTGCTTTTTTTCTCGTGAAATATAAGCAAAAAAAGCCATTAAAGGCAGTGGCGTGAAACAGGAGAATCATTCGACTCGCGTTTTCCCCGACCAGCTTAGTGATGAGGTTCCTCGTGTCAACCTTCACATTGGCTGCCCTCATTGTTGTAGCTACATCTTATAGCTTCAAGTATTTGTGCTGTACGTAACTGGTTTAACCCTCGTTCTTTTCATTGTTAAAACGTTTTTTTGTGCACCCAGAAAATTAACGACACAGCTCGGTGAGCTCAACTGACGCACTGACGTAACGCTAGCTTTAACTGTAAGATGGAAACAATTTTTTAACCTAACATTATGAAAACTTTTTGTGTTTTTTTATAATGTAATTTATGTGTGAGTCTGACCACGTGAAGTAATATTATGTTAACGCTTTATTTATACAACTAAAGTTAGAGTCGCTAGGGATTTGTGCTCTCCACTCTGCGTTGTTTATTTGTTATATAATGAGAGAAGCGGGGATTGCTCTTTTGGGAAGGAGCACCCCGCAATTTTATGGTATCCTATATACAAACTAAGCCTTCGCACAGGAGGCGAAGAGTCCATCATTGCGATTCGCCCAAAAGTAGAAAGGTGGATGGCGAGGGACCCATTAAACTTTTACCCCTGGGCATGATTCATGTTCAGATTCAAATCACAACATCCAATATCCTGCTCAAGATCTAACATATATCACTGTTTTTAGTCAAAATGTTATACTTATGTTCTCATTTGTTCATCTTCTTCGGTAATAATAACAACAGTTTGTTAGAGTGGTGTGCGCTAAACGCGCGATACTTCTGTTGTGGACAGAGTTCCTTATTTTTGAGTATGTATGTACACTATTGTCAGCGTTCTCAAACATGCTATTTTCCAGACTGGCCCGAGTCGAGGCTCAGCGGTACTCTCAACTGCGTCCGGAAAAGGGCATTGGACGATGTAAATATGCTAATGTTTTAACAATTGACTAATCAAATTTGTCGGCATAGAAATGTTATATATATATATATATATATATATATATATATATATATAAATATATATATATATATATATATATTTGCGTATTTTAAAAGCAATGTCAGGTACTCAAAAATTGAAAGCTTCGAAGGAAATAATTTGACCCTTTCGGAACTTCTAGCTGCTGATAAGAACTCTGCCTGTCTATATCTCTATTTTTTTTTTCAGTTGAAACAAGGCTTGCTTAACCTCGAAGCGGAGACAGGATGTGATTCCGGCCTTTGCATTGTTCACAGCTTGTGTGAGAATCCAGGCTTGGTAAGTCATGTCCCCAGAAAATATCTAATTAAACAAATGAGTTTTTACACGTTTTTTTTTCGTTCTGAAGTGTGCAAACCATTTTGTAATAACGTCCCGGTCAAGAAATTGTGTTCCTCTCGTGTAATACTAAATCAAAGCTGCAAAATAATGTGTTTATTTTCATTTAAGCTCTACATGCACTGTCGGCAGCTTATGTTAAAAAGTCTTGGAGTGTAATGAATACAATTAAAACAAATTACTTCACTTTCTGACTTATATGGTACTGCTGCTTTCTATTGGTTGGCCATGATGGTTTGAGAAATGGTTCTCTGACAATGCAGGTCTATGTTAAGTTAGGTTTCTACCCAAGTCAGTGTTTTGATCATATAGACTCACTTCTGCTTGAGTTTGACAAAAGTATCAACCTGATCAAAGGCTCAAAGCGCCTGTACAATTTGCTACGCATTTTGTTAAATTAAATGTTTCTAAGAGCCCTATAATATAATTACATCGCTATACTTCTTGCTTAAATATTGGAGCAAACTCTCATTATTTTGGCAATATTATATAACTGACCATATTCGAAATATAGTTCCACTACAAACCTCTGGTCATGGATGTGGTCTTAGCCATAATAAACCCATATGTTTCATTAGCACTCTCTGTAAAAATTGAACACACATTACTTGTCCACACTCTCAAATTGTTTTTTTTTTACTACACCTCCAGTGATATCTCAGCTCTTGGTTTTCACTAACGATCTTATATTTTTTTTAACCATAAATTGGTGGTATTGAGAAAGATAAACTTTCCGAACAATCCTTAATATTAAATTACTGCAACTTTCGATTGACTAGAAATTCAATATCAAACCATAAATGAACTGTATTTTCCTAACTTCCTGAATGCTTTCAAAAAGAAAACATTCAATTTGTGCCAGTAAATTAGGCTCAATGTTGAGATATCTCCATTTGAATATTCACAGGCTGTGAATATTCAAAATCCATAAAAGGCAGTGGCGCGAAACAGGGGAATCATTCGACTCGCGTTTTCCCCGACCAGCTTAGGGAATAGGTTCCTCGTGTCAACCTTCACATTGGCTGCCCTCATTGTTGTACTCACGTCTTATGGCTTCAAGTATTTGTGCTGTACGTAACTGGTTAATTTCTCGTTCTTTTCATTGCGGAAACTTTTTTATGCATTCAGAAAATTAATGAAAGCTCGGGGAGCTCGAATGTCGCACTGACGTAACTCTAACTGTAAATGTAAGATGGAAACGATTTTTTAACCTAGGATTATGAAAACTTTTCGTGTCATTTTTATAACAAAAGTTATGTTTGAGTCGGACCACGTGAGTAATAATATGTTGACGTTTTGTTTATACACCTAAAGTTACAGTCGCTAGGGATTTGTGCTCTCCACTCTGCGTTGTTTATTTATTATATACTGAGAGAAGCGAGGATTGCTTTTTTGGAGGGCCTCTGAATATTCAAATGAAGAAATATCTCGACATTGAGCCTAATGTACTGACATAAATTGAATGTTTTCTAAAAAAAAAAAAAAGAGAGAGCGATCTTTAGTTGATAATATACATTTCTTTAAATTTCGCAAGCACCGAGGAGAATGCTAGGAACCTATGCACACCGGGCCGTATGCGCTCGTCCTCTCCGTGTAAAAAGTTCGAGGTAAATACAAAAATAAAGCGTTCACAATCGCACGTGCTGCAGACGCTAGCACGTGCAGCCCGTATAACTATGTGCTCGTAGATTGCAGTTGGATCTTGGACAATTTATCAAAATGTCTATACACTAACTCAACTCTGTTACGTCACGCCGCGCTGCTGGCGCTTCCGGCGAATTTCCGGTCTCGTGGTGCGGGCGGGATTCGCCATGCGGGCCGGGCACTGCAGTGTTGTTTTGAAAGAAACCAGGCTTAAACCTACCTTCTCGTCAAATCGCTGCGACTGGGGCTGCACCAAAAGAGCGAGGAAAGGTGTCAAAATAGTTTTCTCATGTTTGTGCTTACTCGGTTTGTCCAAGAACGTGGATAGGTACCGTGAAAAGGCAGAGCCAAACGCCATCAGACCACAATTGCGTGTGCGGGAAGCACTGAGTCAGATTCGCTGAGATTTGTGATCGTGTAATTTATTTCTTTTGTTTTAACGTGAACGCGGGAATACCGTGAAGTTGTTGGGACCGCCCGTGGACCACATTCAGTGCGTCTTCCCGTTCAAACGACCGTCTGATAATTTAAACTTTCGCCTGCTCGTTCGATCGACAACGGCTCGTAGACCACACTTTGACGCGGTAATTGCAATAAGAATTGTAATTGCGGGCCTCAAAGGTTTTAAAATTTGAAGGTTTTTTGGGCTAATTAGGCTTGATGAAAACAGCACATACAAGGAGATGTCGATGATTCTTACCGGTGACCACCACCTGCTTGTTATGCCTGATTCACATGGTCCGATTCTGCTTGTGATTTTTAGTATCGCCGTCGAGCATCGCTGCTACTGTCCGCGCTTCTTTTGCCCCCAGAGCGATGTCGTCATTGAAAATGCCAAGCAGAATCTCATTATGTGAATCAGGCTTTAACGCCCATTCTGCGGCGCCCACGCGAAATGGATCGTCGCTCGTCACGTAATTCACGCGAAGTTTTGGGTGTAACACGCCTTTTTAATCTCGCGGAGGCCACTAAATTAGTCAGACATGTCAGGAACCCGTGAAATCAACAATTCCAACCCGAAATAGAGCACGGGGGCTTACGCCGTCGCCGACAACATCGCATTCCTATGGTTTGTTGATGGGACAGGGGGCGCTTCTTGTCCACGCTCCATCACGCTTGAGCAACGACGGAGGCGTCCACTAGGGGCGCTCCGATTCGTTTAGAAACAGTAGTTGCTATATTGTAAACAATGTTAATTCCTACTCTAGTTTGTTTTACTTCAAGCGTCCCTCAGGGAAGCGCATTAGTGCCTTTATTATGTTTTCTTCCGTTAGCGACCTGTTATTATACGTTTTATGAGCGGCTTGATAATTTTTAGGACTGTTATATTAAACGTGAGACTACTAATAACTCAGGCGTTGTGTTTTTGTTTTTGATATCTTATTGCAAGCAATAGCATATGATGTTTTAGAAAAATGTATAACGATAGGAACGTCTCGTTGTTATGCTTCACCTTTCGCATACTATCTTACTGACGTTACTTTTTATTGTGCGGCTTGCCAGTAGTAGTGTAGTGTCCAGATTACTTGTAACCTTTTCTAGCGATCCCCCATTTATCGCATTATTGCCAATAGGCAATTCAATGGTATGTTAAATAAGGCTTTCTAGACTCCGTCTTTTGTGAGGTGACTTTCAGCAATGTTCTTAGTTTTCTGCAAATTATACATTACGTAGCTGCAATCTGGGATAGTGGCCAGGTGAGACTCCCTTTTAACCTCCAGTCATTATAAAATCGTGGAGCTGGATTCATGAATAAATCGGTTTTTACATCATTTTTTTTTTCGCACGATAAATTGTATTATCAATTTACAATTTAAAAAAAAAACGGTAACATTAAGCTTAATCTAAAAAAATAAAACGATTTTCTCATCTTTCTATATTTCTTCGTAGACCACTCGATACTTCAAGCCTGGCGTACCTTATTGAATTGTTTACTGTCGACCTATGGTGCGACTTTCATTCCTAGAACATCAAGAGGCTGGAAAAACCTTCTTGCATAATTAGGATAAACATCTAGTTAGACTCCCTGAAATACTGTACTTTACTAATAATGTTTTTGAAGGCTTACGCGACGCACTAACTCAACTTTATGTGTTTTTGTTGCATTAAGGTGTCTTTTGTCATCTGTAACTCATTCAGCATTTGAGGGCATTGAAAAAAAGTGATAAATACTTGCATCCATATATAGCAAGCCAATAGGCAAACCACAGATGACTAAATGAGCAGTAAATAAATAAATATCATGCAAGTAAACAAAAAGAAATCAACACAAATAAATAAATATTAAGTTAATAAATGAATTCATAAAATAAGCGAACAAATTAACAAATAAATAACTCTATATATAAGTAGCTCAGTAATATATTTATAAATAAATGAATAAATAGTTTTAAAAAGAAAACTTTCACATCGCTCTTGTTCATTGAAATACGTATCAAGAACGAAGCGAAGAAAAAATACAAGATATTAACAAGTGGTTACAAATAACAGTTGAAATTTATGGCATGCAATTATATTTTGACATACAAAGACGCTGATATCAATGACATTACTAAGTCTATTATAAGAGTTCCACAAGACAACAGCTAGCTCATTGACGTGTTTGGAAATAGCCGGAGTGCGCAGTTACAGAGTTACAAATAGCAATTGTTACTTCACTTCAGATGAATAAAACTGAAAACAAAATGGTTCTAGCGGGTGCTGTGCCGTGTCTGTTTATGAAATAATGGCAGTAGAGGAAAGTCGAAACAATCCTTGTTTTAACTGTTTCGCGTTGTAAATTTGTGAAAAAAAGCTTTTGAATTAAAGGGCCCCTGAAATGAAAAAGAAAGTGTTTTAAAAACAGTCTGGTTGAGACACGCCTGTCAAAAAAATAAATTTTACGCGAAAAAAAAAATTTTTTTAGAGCAATATTGACTGCGCCAGACGCCTCCTTTCCACCTTTCTCTCTCTCGCCACTTCGGGCGCGTGGACCGGTAGTCTCCGCCTCTTCGTAGTGGATCGGCTTGGCTGCGCCCCGCACGAGAGCCATTGCTACTTCCTGGACGTGTTCCAAAATTTACTCGATCTTACCCCAGGGTAAGGGTTTTGTACCCTTGGCGTTCTAAAACCTACCCGCGTACAGCGTTTTTCAATCTGTGCTGTCACGTGATACGATCCGCCGGAGAAACTCGGATCCATTTGAAGATTTGGAACACAGCCCCTGGCCGGCTGTGTCTGCCGGTCGCACGACGTACCGCGTCGTATCGTGCACGTACCGTGGTCACCGTGGTGCCGTGGTCGTACACACAGTACATAGTCGTCGCGGTGGACCCCGACCTGAAGCGTCGGTTGCTTCAACGCTGCTAGCAGCTGGGCCTTCGCCGTTACGAGGACACACCTCGCCAGCCGGGAGGCGTCCGCTCCGATCGCCGCGAGACAACCGCTCGGGAGGCACCCGCATCGCTGAGGCGAAGCGGGTGCCTCGACGAGTTCGTCCGAGCCGCACGATCCTTCAAGCCGCCGCGAGGACACGCAGTGGTAACTGTTTTTTTATTAAACGTTGAGTGCGGTGCCGCGTGCCTCACTAAACTCCTTTCACGGGAACCGACATCTAAACAAAAATTGGCACTGACGCGCGCCAGAAAACAAACAAAAGATGGGGTAAACGGGACACACGAATCGCGCAAAGAGCAGAAAAACCGAAACCTGTCACCCCGCGCCACTTACTAAGTACTTACGATGACTGACTAACTAACACAAGCAACAAGCCCTCTTCAGAACGCGAGACGCGAAGACGGCGACCATGACAGAAAACAAAATGGCGAAGCTTTTGTTTGTTGTTTTGTTGTAGTATCCGAACAGAAGTTACGATTTTGTAAAACGTTTGTAAACAATTGCGACATTCATTCGATGGATTGTTTCTTAAACCTAAAAATATGTAATTCAAAAGGCGATTTCAAGAGATCACGAAGATTTTATAACCAACATCTAAGCTGTCACTCATTCTATTGGCCAATGAGAAGCCGATTTGAATGACCATGGTTACCAATGAGAAGCCGAGCTGAATGACCTGGAATTTGCGCGCAAATTTTCAAATAAATCTCTCGCCGTCAATATTGCTCTAAAAAATTTTTTTTTCGCGTAAAATTCATTTTTCGACACGCGTGTCCCAACCAGACTGTTTTAAAAAAAACTTTTTTTTTTCTTTTCAGGGGCCCTTTAAGAACGAAGTGTGAACGTATAAAGTTTTTGCACTTAATTTTTCATGGTTTAATTTGCATAAAAAATTTATTTACATTGATACACGCATTGGTGAATCCATAAGGCACCGTCATTCTATGTACTATACATAAGTGGGCCGTCTGTTAGAAACGATTGCTTCAAGTATAGTTTCTTTCCTAGAACGATTACGGAGTGGAATGCTCTGCCAAGTGGCACTGTTACCCGAACCTCAGTTAAGAGTTTGTTAGAAACGTCGAGAGCATAGTACTTTGTCACACGTCGTAAGTGTTCATTAATCATGATGCTTATCTGGTGTTCTACTCCCACCCTCAGAGTCCATTCCCATCATTTGTTTTATTTGTTATGTTGGCGTAAATTTGTATAGGCACTTGAGCACTTCGAATGCTCTGTCATAACCTGTCTAGTCAGCTAGTCATACACTAGCAGCATTTTTTTTCCTCGTGTTTTTTGTCGCAGCACGTATTAGTATTCTCTGCGGCCGTTCTTATTTTTTTTCTCTTTTTTTTTCTTCGTTGTTTATTGTTTTGTGCATGTATGCGATTTACCGCTGTGTATTACCCACTACTCTAAAACCCCTGTCTAGGGCTGACGGTATCAATAAATAAATACATAAATGATAATGAACATGTCAAAATTTAGGTTTTCATTTTCGCATGGAAAGCGTTTTTGATCGCGAAATATATAACAACTTTTTTATTTTTAATGCTGGAACTCTACAAACATTGCCCAAGAACCCACTAACTCCAAGGAAGAAATTTACTTTTGATGTTTAACAAGCAATTCCAAACGTGCATTATTTCGCAAGAATATCAATGAAGTGAATGCAAGGGTTCAAGCGAACTGGTTCAGATTGAACATGACATAAACCCCGAAACTGCGGGCAAAACTCGACACGAACACCAAAAGGTCTCGAGAATTTTCGGTGTTCGTGTCGATTTTTGTTTGCGGTCTCGGTGATTATGTCCTGTTCATTATCAAATGCATTATTTTGAGAACGCGAATGCACTCTAGGTTTCGTAACAGCCACCAACAAAAAGCCTATAAAGATATGCAATTGTCCATTGTGTCCCAAGCTAAATGCGTGACACTTATCCTCTCTTTCAGGATGAGGGGCTTCGGAAATTTTTGACTGTAAGTAATTTGTTTGGCACTTCTGGATAACACAATTTTGTTAATGGCTTTGACTCAATTTGCTTACATTTCTGTGATATAAGTACGTGTTGACCTAACACCAGTCTCAGATACTAAGTACAAAACTTGAAAGTATAAAACAGAGAGGACGAGGACGGGAACAGGACATCTTTCATTTAGCAACAACATAGAATGGCACAACGATAAAACCGCCCCCCAAGGGTCTCTACGTTCTCAAAGAGGGAAAGGAAATACTAGTTATAAAGGAAAGGGAATACACTAAAAGAAAAGTTTAAAAAGCGCATCAGTAATCTAGTTATTTTCGATTACTTAGAATTAACCTTGGTCATTGTCAGTGATAATGCGGAATTATTCTTGTTTGCAGTCCAAAAAGGGAATTGTACTATAAATATAAAAGTTAAAAAGCTGTAGCGTCACGACGAGGTGTCAATATTCTAGTCATCTCTGGTGTTAAGAATTCAACCTCTGTCTTTGTCAATAATAATGAAGGTGCAGAAATGTTGTTGTTAACAGTCCCCATGGCAAATGACTCGATGATTTCTCTCCCAAATCTGTTATTGTGCCCGCCCAGTATATTAGTATTAGAAAAATGAGGTGTACAGTCATCGCATGTGCGGCTGTGAACGACAATGGGGTGATACGACTCAGTTGAAGCCTTTGATGCTTCCAAGTTATGTTCTCTGAGTCGGTGGTTGACGCATCTCCCAGTCTGTCCAATGTACTGACTGCCACAGCTTAGTGGAATTGAATAAACCTTCTTTTCTTCGCATTCTACGAACTTTTTTGCATGTTTTACATTGCACCCTCGGGGACTGTCGCTCCCATTAACCTTTTTGCACATCTGTTTGAGGCGCATACGACAAGAAAAAACCACCCTCGTGTCAAACTTGGACGCGATAGACCTTAAACGGTGCGCGGAATTGTGCATGTAGGGAATCACAGCGAAACGACCTTTCTTTTTTGAAACAACTGGCGGAAGTTGTGGTTTGATAATGAACCTCTCAAGGGTGGAGCGAAGTAGGTCAGCAGGAAAGCCTGCTTTTTCTAACCTCTGCTGCTGCAACTTAAGGCTACTTTCCGAGAAATGCTTGCACGACTTGGAGAATGAGGACTTGAAAAGTGACCTTACTATTCCATGCTTAACGGACTTGGAGTGAGCACTGGTGAAAGGGAGGACTGGCTTCTCCGACCTCTGCTGGAAGGCCCAACAAACACCTGAGGAATGAGGATGCAATCGCAAATCCAGAAATTGTAATCCTTCCACTGAAGGATTTTCCCGGGTAAAAGTAAGCCCTGCCGCACAGTCTTTGAAAACTTCAAAGATGCTGTCAGCGGACGCAGCGTCTGGATAAATGACCAAGTAATCGTCAACATACCTAAAAACTAGGCAACCCTGGAAGGACTTTTTCAACTGATCGTTGATAGCCCTGTCAACAAAGAGAAGAAATATTTCACTAAGGACAGGTGCAAGGCAAGAGCCTATACAAACTCCCTTCTTTTGTCTGTAAATATTTCCTTCGTATTCTACCAAAGTGGACTGTAAATAAATATCTATCAGGTCGATGAAGCCCTCAACCGAAACACCGGAGGAATTTTGAAAGTCGCAAATTCCGTGTTCATGGATTGCATTAGTCACAGAATCTAAGATGAGTTTTGGTTCTAGGCTGTAATACATATCTTCAATGTCGAAAGACATAACTGAGTGCGGGATGGAACAAAAATGAAGCGAATCGAAGCGGGGGATTATTTCAAGGGAGTTTTGGACTCTGAAAGGCTGAGGGAGGATGATATTAGACAAATGTTTTTGTAGATAACGACCCAGAGGCTTTTGCCAACACCCAATTTCTGAAATTATGCTCCTGAAGGGAACTCCATACTTGTGAGTCTTTGCAGTAAAGAAAACAGACAAATACTGTTTGGCAGGACTACCAATGACGTTCTTAAGAGAGGTTAAGTTCAAGGAGGAACAAAGTTCCTTTGCCCTCGAACGCAGTCTACCCGAAGGCCTAGTTTTTAAGGGCTCAAAATTCTTTGACAAGGCATCAAGAACCTTATCATTAAAAGCACTTTCCTCCAAAATTACAAAAACACCCGTTTTGTCCGATTCAAGTAATTTTAGGTGTTCTTGGCGAAGCTCTTGCACAGCCGCACGTAGTGGAAGCCTGCTTGGCCGAGGGGGTGGATGGTGACACACTGCACGCACTGCCGAGCCCAGAAAGTCTTGCCGTTGATGTTCAGGTATAGACGACGCTACTTGATGCACAGAGGCTAGCTGGTCTACCTTCAACGAAGGAAGATCTGGAGCAAACTTTGGTCCCCTCGACAGCAGATCCATTGTGGCAGCGGAGAGCTTTTTTGTAGAAACCATCACGGGAGGTTCAAACTTGGTGGTCTTTACCTGTAGACACGAGGTGTTGACTTCCTTGAGCAGTTTATTCCACGATGCTTGAAGAAGACTGGCAGCAGCATCCATGATGAATTTGTACTCCATTCGGGCGCTGAATCCTTGTCCGAAAAGTTTCTCCATTTGGGAGGGAAGCACTCTTCCCATCACGTGAAGTTCATGAGAAATTTCTTTTCTCGTAATCTGCATCACTCGGTAGCATGAAGCCCAGTTGTTGCAGCGGAACCCAAATGCCAGCTCTACACAGGGATGAGGCAAATCCTTGCGAAGGTAGAGGCCCAGTGAACGCAGTCGGAGACGAAGTTGGGTCATCTTTGAAATGAAGATGGCAGCTTCCAGAAAGGACACCGGATTGAAGACCGAAGACACGCAGTTGGGGTTTGGACGAAACATGGCTCGAAAAACTTTGTCGGTTACAGTTGAAAACGAGCGTGTTGGTTAATAGATACAAAACTTGAAAGTATAAAACAGAGAGGACGAGGACGGGAACAGGACATCTTTCATTTAGCAACAACATAGAATGGCACAACGATAAAACGATTTTGTAATTTTGGAGGAAAGTGCTTTTAATGATAAGGTTCTTGATGCCTTGTCAAAGAATTTTGAGCCCTTAAAAACTAGGCCTTCGGGTAGACTGCGTTCGAGGGCAAAGGAACTTTGTTCCTCCTTGAACTTAACCTCTCTTAAGAACGTCATTGGTAGTCCTGCCAAACAGTATTTGTCTGTTTTCTTTACTGCAAAGACTCACAAGTATGGAGTTCCCTTCAGGAGCATAATTTCAGAAATTGGGTGTTGGCAAAAGCCTCTGGGTCGTTATCTACAAAAACATTTGTCTAATATCATCCTCCCTCAGCCTTTCAGAGTCCAAAACTCCCTTGAAATAATCCCCCGCTTCGATTCGCTTCATTTTTGTTCCATCCCGCACTCAGTTATGTCTTTCGACATTGAAGATATGTATTACAGCCTAGAACCAAAACTCATCTTAGATTCTGTGACTAATGCAATCCATGAACACGGAATTTGCGACTTTCAAAATTCCTCCGGTGTTTCGGTTGAGGGCTTCATCGACCTGATAGATATTTATTTACAGTCCACTTTGGTAGAATACGAAGGAAATATTTACAGACAAAAGAAGGGAGTTTGTATAGGCTCTTGCCTTGCACCTGTCCTTAGTGAAATATTTCTTCTCTTTGTTGACAGGGCTATCAACGATCAGTTGAAAAAGTCCTTCCAGGGTTGCCTAGTTTTTAGGTATGTTGACGATTACTTGGTCATTTATCCAGACGCTGCGTCCGCTGACAGCATCTTTGAAGTTTTCAAAGACTGTGCGGCAGGGCTTACTTTTACCCGGGAAAATCCTTCAGTGGAAGGATTACAATTTCTGGATTTGCGATTGCATCCTCATTCCTCAGGTGTTTGTTGGGCCTTCCAGCAGAGGTCGGAGAAGCCAGTCCTCCCTTTCACCAGTGCTCACTCCAAGTCCGTTAAGCATGGAATAGTAAGGTCACTTTTCAAGTCCTCATTCTCCAAGTCGTGCAAGCATTTCTCGGAAAGTAGCCTTAAGTTGCAGCAGCAGAGGTTAGAAAAAGCAGGCTTTCCTGCTGACCTACTTCGCTCCACCCTTGAGAGGTTCATTATCAAACCACAACTTCCGCCAGTTGTTTCAAAAAAGAAAGGTCGTTTCGCTGTGATTCCCTACATGCACAATTCCGCGCACCGTTTAAGGTCTATCGCGTCCAAGTTTGACACGAGGGTGGTTTTTTCTTGTCGTATGCGCCTCAAACAGATGTGCAAAAAGGTTAATGGGAGCGACAGTCCCCGAGGGTGCAATGTAAAACATGCAAAAAAAGTTCGTAGAATGCGAAGAAAAGAAGGTTTATTCAATTCCACTAAGCTGTGGCAGTCAGTACATTGGACAGACTGGGAGATGCGTCAACCACCGACTCAGAGAACATAACTTGGAAGCATCAAAGGCTTCAACTGAGTCGTATCACCCCATTGTCGTTCACAGCCGCACATGCGATGACTGTACACCTCATTTTTCTAATACTAATATACTGGGCGGGCACAATAACAGATTTGGGAGAGAAATCATCGAGTCATTTGCCATGGGGACTGTTAACAACAACATTTCTGCACCTTCATTATTATTGACAAAGACAGAGGTCGAATTCTTAACACCAGAGATGACTAGAATATTGACACCTCGTCGTGACGCTACAGCTTTTTAACTTTTATATTTATAGTACAATTCCCTTTTTGGACTGCAAACAAGAATAATTCCGCATTATCACTGACAATGACCAAGGTTAATTCTAAGTAATCGAAAATAACTAGATTACTGATGCGCTTTTTAAACTTTTCTTTTAGTGTATTCCCTTTCCTTTATAACTAGTATTTCCTTTCCCTCTTTGAGAACGTAGAGACCCTTGGGGGGCGGTTTTATCGTTGTGCCATTCTATGTTGTTGCTAAATGAAAGATGTCCTGTTCCCGTCCTCGTCCTCTCTGTTTTATACTTTCAAGTTTTGTATCTATTAACCAACACGCTCGTTTTCAACTGTAAGATACTAAGCATTTGAAGATATTGGCTCTAATTTACTTTGATTAGAAAATTAAACGGCAATGCTTCGAAGAGTAGCGTTACTTTTTACCTTTATAGTGAACCGGCAAAATGTAGTTTTATATATTAGATTAAAAGTTTAATGATTGATTGAAGAGAGACCAGGCAATCACCTACTAGTTAGCATGCTGCCATTGAATAACGCACGGCTTGTTGTTGTGTTTTCTTCTTTTTTATAATGCTGTTAATCTCTTACGCTCTGTTAAGGACTGAATCAGAAACGATATCACACAGGCACCACTTGAAGACCGATAATTTTTTTTATCGAATATACTCTCTGAATGGTATTGTCATTCATTTTTTTTTTTTTGCATCCGAACATAGCCAAGTTAGTCTGAAGATCCTCATTTCGCTAAACTTTTTTTTTGCTGCCTCTTTTTATGTTGAGTTATTCAATTTTTTTAATGAATACTTAGGATATGACAAATTGAAAGTCTACCATATTTTGCTTAAATCACTCGCCCACTTTGACAAATACGGTTGCTTCCACTTTAATTTTTACTGTTTACGTGTATTCAAGTTTGTCCTTGAACAATCATTCATTAGAATTTCTTCCTACTTTTCACAGGACACACAGCACGAAGAGATAACCGAGCTGCTGCATATGTGTTCACCGCAAGATCAATCATCGCGGCCACACATCGAGCAGTCAAATATGCAGTGGATTTTGGCATTCTTCCAATGAAAAGACCAATTCACGGAAATTCGTTGCAAGAAGTTTACTCTGCAATAGCTAAAGCCGTGTCCAAATATTTTCGTGCTGAAATAAACAGCGATTGGTAAATGAATAAAGGTTGAAGAACACATATCACTCTAAGGAAGGAAAATTCACGATCCCAACTTCGCACCACCAAAATTTAATGCAACTTTTCTTCCACTCTTCTTTATTTTCAGGCGAAACCTTTAAAATGTTTCTATGGAAATGGTAGATTTAAAAAAAAAATATCCGAGTAAAGCTTTAATATGCTAAATAAAGGAAGCAAACAAGTGAAAATGGGTTGAGTTGTGATCATTCCTAGAGCGCCGAGGAGAGGCAGAGGTTCGCAACGAAGTCGCATTTGTCCAAAAAATCAGAAGATTCGAATACATTCAAACGTGTTTGGCCCGTTCCAAAAGCAGCCTAGACCCCCGCCTCTTCTCATTCCAATGGTGTGTTTGCCGTAATATGTATACGTCATTATTAAATTAACTGCGAGCTCACTGCGTATATTATTTACCGTTTCTTTTCTAACGTTTATTGGCAGACACGCCCTGAAATGGGTCTACTTTCTTGCAGAGATTAACGTCTTTTGTGTCAGACTGTTTTCTTCATGATGTCATCCACTCAGCATTCCCCTTCGAAGAATGCCAAGTGGATGGCGAGATAAAAAAAAAACAGTCCAACATAATTGCGATCGATTCTGGGGGCAATGACATAGAAGTTTTGCTTAAGCACTGCTGCTTATTGAACTGATGGTTAATCCACATGAAGAATAACGTCCTAAAGATTGCTTACTTAATGAATAATAAAAAACACGACATATACTTGGTATTGCATATGAAGCAGATTACATGCTTGCCATTAGTTGAATTAAAGCAAAAATAAAAATTAAAAAATATAGTTTTAAACGTAAAAACACTTTTATAGTATTAAATTAATTAACATTAAATTATTTTACATTTCTGAACGCTTCAGAGCTCCGTAATTATAATATACCTTGTATCCTGCAATACATATAGCTGGAAATATAGTGTATTTAAAAGAGGACATAGCTGGTACTTTCTTTTGGACATTACTGGCGCGACATTAACATATAGCGCTGTGTGCTCGTGATCGTCAGGCTGCTGGTCCTGTAATACGGCGTCCAAACAAACGCAGTTTTTGCAGGTTTTTTTACTGTTTAAATTAGGAGCACAATTTTCTGCTGTTCATTTTGCATTGTCATTATAATGTGTCACATACATATACATGCAAGCCAAATCGTGCGAGTGTCCATCGCCAGGCAGTCATAGTCCGCTAAAGGCACTCATGCTTAGTGCACAGCTACTAATTTTTACGATTGTATGTTTCATTATAAATTAGCCTAATTGCGTAATGTTTCCAGGTGCTTCTAATTCTTGTGTACCTAAACGGAACATGCAGAATCAAAAGCAACATCAAATAATGTTAATTGCGTGGCAATTTTGCTCTGTTTACATATCAAAACGCAGCTTCTCGAAACCAACTTGCTAAAAAAAATTGAAATTTTTAGACGTTACACTAACCGATGGCCATATTCGTCTGCGTACTTCCACAAGGCGCTAAATAAAAGGAAGAGACAAGTAGATATTATAAATTAAATTCAAAGATTTATTCTTAAACCTACAGTAAAGATACCCCCCAAGACATACACACAGACAAAACAGAAGAAGAAAAACTGCTAAGAGAATTTTGACGGGTCTGGAAGCCCGTTACAGGAGGATGAGGATGGAAAGTATACGGAAACTTTGAGGGCCAAAGAAAACTACAAAAAAGTCTTATTTTTTCGGTAGTTTTGGAAACATTGGAAACATTGTCCAATAAGAATAATTCAGCAACGACCTAAAAGATAGCTATAAAGGCCAATACCGGCAATAGGTTTTTTTACGAGTTTTTGTGGTGTAGTATCACATAAAAATTATTTTAGTGTTCGCGAAAACCTTTGTCAATATGGCGGATTCTTCGCTACTCATCTGGATACTGTCAATAGAACAAAGCCCATTCGCAAGTTAATACTGCAGATTGGGCGAGTTGGTAAGGCATAATTACGAACCAGCGCACAGGTAGACAGTTATTCAAAATCCAAACACACAGAAATTTATTTATTTATTTATTTATTTATTTATTTCAAATACTGCCAACCCTTGCGGGTTATAGCAGGAGTGGATACAGTAATATATCAAACAAAATACAGGTGACACAAGAAATTATACATAGAACAATCATTCTCACAGGTGCAACTACTCGTCAGCAAACCAGTTCATCAACTTTTCTTCAAATTCTTCAACAGACGTGACGTCCGAAAAAACACTTGGGGGTAATCTGTTCCATCCTTCTATTGTTTTCACAAGAAACGAATATTTAAAAATGTCAATATTGGGCATAAATGGGTCAACTGACCATTCATTGTTTAGTCGTCGAGACCGTCTTCCAGGAGATCTGACATAAGTTTGCGTGTCAATACGAAGATATTTAAAATACAACAAATAAAAAAACTTCAGCCGCGCAATTCTTCGTCTTGACGCTAAGGACGATAATTGGGCTTCCCTCAACAATGCCGAAACAGACTCATGTCTATCGTATTTAGAAAAGATAAACCTGGCTGCTAGCCTTTGAATGCGCTCCACTTTATCTATTTGAGTTTGTGCGTAGGGGTCCCATATTATCGATGCATATTCCAATGTCGGGCGCACTAGAGTTTTATAAACGTTGGTACGGATATCGGAGTTCGTCCGTCTTGGAGATCGCCTCATAAAACAAAGTTTCCTATATGCTGAATTACATACATTTTTAACGCGCGTATTCCAGCTGAGATCACCCGAGATAGTAATACCAAGATACTTAATAGTGTTAGAACGTTGCAAGACTACACCATTTATTTCATACAAAAACATCAACGGAGACTTCTTTTTGGTTATGCTTAAGACAGTAGTTTTATCAAAATTAATTCGCATATCCGATTTTTCACACCAGTGAAATATAGTCATCAAGGACAATCAAGTCAATTTACACTCACACTTCAGTTTGAGTGTATATTTATGTGTGTTTGGATTTTGAGTAACTGTCTACCTAAGCGCTGGTTCGTAATTATGCCATCCACAAGGGAAATCCAAAAAAATGTAAGCCGATTCACCGGGTAAATCTCTTTAGTCACTTTAGCTTTGCGAACCCTTGTGCGCAACGCGTTAAGTTCTCGAATTTCGGGAGCGCATTGGCTTTGGATCTGTTTGAACTTTCCGCTGCGTACCATGGTGAGACCCCGTTCAAATATTTGGATGAACTTCGATGTGCTCAACAATGGGAGAGGGCCAGCTGCGTGTACATTTTGTTGTGCCAACTACGAATCCAAACGCAACCCGTCAAATGTTCACGGTGCCCACCGGACATTCAACCTGCTGCGCTGGTGAATCAACCAAATTGGCAAGATTTCCATCTTAAGAGATGTCCCTCAACAAGAAGTACATCCGTTAAAAATGTGCGGCCAGAACGTCCACCGTACGAAAACAAAGGCGGAAACTCTCGAAGAGAAACTGACAGTCCTATCAACCAGCATACTTCTATGCAAGCATTTGTTGAGAGAATGGCACTCAAGTGCCAAAGGAAGCTGGATGAGGCACTCGGGCGACCGATATATTCAAGTTTAATGCCTTTGTCAGTCACCGAAAACAAATGCTGGCGAAAAGTGCTCAAGCTTCTCTGGCCCGCATACGCACTGCCCCCTAGGCTCTCGTTAGGTGGCTGACAGTTGGAGGTGGAGTACGCCCGAATGGTGACGCATGTAGAACATAAAATTAATTCTGCACTTAGTGTCACCCTACTCACGGACGGCTCGACGAACGTACGAGGTGAGAGCTTATTTGAGTTCCTGGTGGTCACACCAAATCCCATCTTCTACAACATCGAAGAGATGGAAGATCACAGGCACACCGGAAAATACATCGCAGGAGAGATTTCGAAGGATATAAAAGAACTTGGAACAGGAAAGTTACAGACAACGCAAGCAACATAAAGGCCACAAGAACCATCGGAAACCAGCATGCTACGTACACGCCGTACAAGCCAGCGGTACGGCGTTACGCTCTGGACCGGGGGCCCCACCCATCTTCGGATATTTCAGATATTTAAATCAAAGTTTACTTCATCATCATCATCATCATCCCCTACCGACGAAGAGCCACCCACACCTCCGGTTTCACGAGCGTTACTCGGCTGAGATTATCTCTCTTGTCTCTCTCCTGTCTGTAACATAAACAGTGGCGGATCACCGCCGCTCCCCGGCACGCAGAAGATGCTCTGTGCTGGTTTTGACTAGACGCTTTTCTTTCGCTCTAATAAACTCAGTTCTCCGCAACTTGACTCAGCTACCCTCACTCGTAAAGTACACATCACAACACTTTCCTCACATCACTATTTGGGATGCAGTGCTCATGGACTAAATTTTCTGTTTTCGAATTTCTTGAAGTGGGTGACGTTGCAGGAAGTTAATAAGAAGTTCAAGTGTAATCAACTACGGAAAAAACTGTCATAGGTTGCGGCCCACTTCGCGAAAAGTCAAGAAGAGTGCTATGTTGAAAGTCAAACAACGCTTAAGCTACCACCTGAAACTCACTGGGCAGCAACCGTGAGGTCACTGCGGGGTCTTTCGAATAACAAAAAAGCTTTACAAAAAACCGTTACCGCCACTGAGTTTGAAGTGAGTAGAGTAATGTGAACCGCGGTTTTAGACGACGTTGATTTTGGCGAGATGTGCACAGCGGTTTCCATGATTTGGAGCCAGTTGCCTGCGCTATTTCCAAGGCTCCGTCAGGCACTGCTGTTCTGTGTGACGTTCATGAGATCTTCAAAGTAGCAAGACAAGTGGAACAGGCACTCCAGACTGCCTTGAGTACCAAAACAAAAGAAAAGAGCTGCATAAATCCTGCATGAACGACGGAACTTTATTAGTCGTCCAACGCATAGGGCCGCACATTTCCTGGTCCCGTAGTACAGAGGAAAATTCCTGAGTAAAAAATATGTATTTAATCCTATGATAACATCACAGAAGTGGCAGTTGGGTAAGATCTTCATGTGGGAAAAGTGCTGTCCTATCTCGCTGCACACAGAACCCTATCAAGTGAGTGGTCAAGGAAGTTACTGGACGATTCGGCAAAGCATATAATTTTTACACGCTGTTTTTCCCTTTGTCAGCATGAACCGCCCACCCCACATCGCCACCATCAAGTATATCCCACCTTCTACGTGGTGACAAGGCATGCGTGCATCTGAGTCCCTGGTAC